TTGGTGTCTTCTTTTACATTTCCTGGGTCACTGATACATTTTCCTTGAAATAATTCTGGGTCGATATTTTGTGATATGTTAACAAAATTACTGCCTTGGAAGTTGATATTATATTGTAGTTACATGCAAAATACTGCTATGGTGTTGCGTTTATGTTGTACTACTATGATGCTGTTTTGTATATCACGTATTGAATGTTTCATTCAGTAACTTTTATATTTCCCTGGTGAAACCGTACATCTAAGATATAATCGCTGGTGCTGTGTTTTAGGTAACATTCTATATACTGCCCTTTAGTTATGTTATATTTAACTCATTCACCCCTGAAATTTCATTATGAACTATTCCAACCTTTAAACTGGAAGAGCTCAAATGTGTCTTCAGGGGTGAATGAGTTAATATACTTCCCTATAATTATAAGTGCTGGTGCTATGTTGTATATTACATTAAATATACTGAACATTTAATTTATTTTCCTGACTCCTGGTGCTGTGATGTATGTTATATTCAATGTACTGCCCTGGTGCTATGTTGCATGTTAATTTCAATATACTGCCCTGCCATTGTGTTGTTTCTTATATTTTTATATACCGTCATGTGATGTAAAAAAAGGCTATTCCTTTAATATTCTTCCCTGGTGTTATGTTGTATGTAACATTCAATGAACTGCCCTGGTTCTGTGTTTTATGTTTCGTTCAATGTACTGCCCTGGTGCTATTTTGCATGTTAATTTCAATATACTCCCCTGCCATTGTGTTGTTTCTTATATTTTTATATGCCGTCATGTGATGTAAAAAAAGGCTATTCCTAAAATATTCTTCCCTGGTGTTATGTTGTATGTAACATTCAATGAACTGCCCTGGTGCTGTGTTGTATGTTACATTCAATGTACTGCCCTGGTGCTGTGTTTTATGTTACATTCTATGTACTGCCCTGGCGCTGTGTTGTATGTTACATTCAATGTACTTCCCTGGTGCTGTGTTGTATGTTACATTCATTGTACTGCCTTGGTGCTGTGTTTACATTCAATGTACTGCCCGGGTGCTGTGTTTTATGTTACATTCAATGTACTGACCTGGTGCTGTGTTGTATGTTTCATTCAATGTACTGCCCTGGTGCTCTGTTGTATGTTACATTCATTGTACTGCCTTGGTGCTGTGTTTACATTCAATGTACTGCCCTGTTGCTGTTTTTTATGTTACATTCAATGTACTGACCTGGTGCTGTGTTGTATGTGACATTCTAGGTACTGCCCTGGTGCTGTGTTATATGTTACATTCTATGTACTGCCCTGGGGCTGTGTTGTATGATTTATATTGATACACTGACCTCTGGTTGTGTTGTAGGTTACATTCGGTCTGTCACTGGTTCTGTGTGTTATTATTTATATTGATACACTGCCCTCTGGTTGTGTTGTAGCTTACATTCAGTCTGTCACTGGTTCTGTGTGTTATTATTTATATTGATACACTGCCCTCTGGTTGTGTTGTAGCTTACATTCAGTCTGTCACTGGGTCTGTGTGTTATGATTTATATTGATACACTGCCCTCTGGTTGTGTTGGAGGTTACATTCAGTCTGTCACTGGGTCTGTGTGTTATGATTTATATTGATACACTTCCCTCTGGTTGTGTTGTAGGTTACAGGCAGTCTGTCACTGGTTCTGTGTGTTATTATTTATATTGATACACTGCCCTCTGGTTGTGTTGTAGCTTACATTCAGTCTGTCACTGGTTATGTGTGTTATGATTTATATTGATACACTTCCCTCTGGTTGTGTTGTAGGTTACATTCAGTCTGTCACTGGTTCTGTGTGTTATGATTTATATTGATACACTGCCCTCTGGTTGTGTTGTAGGTTACATTCAGTCTGTCACTGGTTCTGTGTTTTGAGCTATAGCTAGGTCACTGTTAATATACAGCTCAGTGTATAAAGAGATCCTGTTTGATCTATCACAATGAAAATGTAAATCATCTCTGTAATTGTCTTCTAGCATAGAAACAATATTGATTTTATCAACAAGAAAGAGTTAAGTATTGATTGTGTACGATACAGCCATGTTTTCCTGGATCCAGATATGTGCTTCATACAATGTATATATACAATATATCAATAAAGAGTAGGGACTGTTTTTGTTTTCAGATTAGATTATATTTGATGATGTTAAGGCCTAGAAATAAAATAGCATAAGCTTTGTTCTTACATATTGATTCTGTTTACACAAAAAAAAAAAGCCTTTTTCTAGTAAACTGTGAAAGGCGGTTGTTTCAACACAACATACAACAATCAGACCTCATTATTATACTTGTGATATGTTTTACCAGTGTGGTAATGGAAGTGACATGTGTTTTCATGTGACATAAGACATGACATCATCAGACCATTACCAGGAGGAGTGTAAGTCTCCCCCATGCCTGCATCCCTATCACCAGACCAGTGTGTATATTGTGGTCGTCTGCTGTGTCCATTTCTAAAGTACAGACCCAGACAAAGTCATATGGCAGTATTGAGTGGGTATTGAGGGGTGGGGGAAAGATAGAATAGAAGTACAGGGTTAGAGTGTTCCCAGTAAGTGGCTCAGTGTGCCAGATCCCAGACCTTGGGACTGTAAGTGGACAGTTGAGCTGTACCCTAGGAGAGACTGCCTGTACTTTTCTCTGCACTGTTCCGCTAACAGTACACACCAACCCTGCCTGTGCAGTTCCATTGTACTTTAGAGCACATGGACCAGTCCTATATAGGGAGGACAGGGTCTCACCCAAATGTACTCTTCCAGTTTCAATAGGCAGCAGGCCAACTTAAGGTCAGATTCAGTATCAACCCCAGATCAGTGGGCCATAACCCCTAGCTGAACTTTCTACACTGGAAATCAAATTGTTTACAAAATTTGTCAGTGTGTTGATGTTTTTCTGCTGATTGTTTACATGGAAGGTGGTTCATAGGGTGGTATGGACAAACATGTAAACAGGGTGTTTGGTTGATTGTGGAGAGGTCAGAAGGAGAGGCTAGTGGTCTACTGCACTTCAACTGACCACTCCAGCCATTATATCAGATCAATATATATACTGATCTGATATATCACAGCCCTACAACCATCTCCACATAAAACATCATAATCAAATAGCCAACTAGAAGGAGATTATTATTATTGTATAGAGAGTTTCAGTCTTGAAAGGTGGGCTGGAGTGCAAGTCTGAGGATATAGGTAGAAGTAGGGGTCATCATGAAGGGGTCAGATTCAGAGTTCAGCCTCGATTCCATATGGGGGTATATAGAGACATCTTTTCAACTGCTTGATGTACTTACCTGTTCAATGAACCAGTATTTATCTGTGGCAAATACAATGGAATAGTTTAAACATGCTCTAATTACTGACACACTGCCGTACCTGTGTATTTATTATGTGAACTCATGTGTGAGGCTTGTATAAAATCCAACACAAAATGACTGTTGGCATTGTTAATAATTCATTTGTCATTAAGTGCAAATATGGTATCTTTATGACTATCTCTTTGTTGAATTTCCATAATGAATATTGCATATGTGTTAATGAATAGGGCAGAAATGTTTTGTCACACAACACGGTACTCAGAGTAATTAGTGACATCACCAGCATTGTGTAAGGCAGTAGATTGACTCTACAACAGGAGAAGTCATCTGTACTGGTATTATCAGCCAACAATTTGTCAAGTGTAAAAGTACAGGCTCTGCCCTGGGGCTGTTTGATAAGGCTATAATGATAATGCACACTTCTAAATGTTCGAGGCTCTATGGTGTACTTTATAAATCGCCCTCAGCTGTTTGTTCCCATTCTCTAGCCAGTGAAAACTCTGTATGGAATCACAACGACTTATCTTATGTACTTTAATAATAATTTATCACCAATAAAATGATCCCTTTGATAATGTACTTTGTCTAAATCCTATGTTCCCTCAGGCGTCCTAATGGACTCAACATTCTTTGGAAATGGGTTGGGCTATAATTGTTTTCTAGGGTAAAGTTCTCACAGAGACATGTAGGGCATGGGAATTTTATGTGATTATTTAGTCTGTGTTGGCCCACTATCCTGGCACAAAGTATGAGGAAGCATCTCTAACAGTGGTTATAGTATCATCTCTACCAATGTTTTCAGGGATTCAATAAGATATCTCTCGGTAGACATCTATGTACCAAAGCCAAAGTTACCCGATACAGCAGGAACTTGTTGGTCAAGTCATACTTTATTCGTCTAACTTTGGATGGAAAATCTGTTTAGAATTGGCTTTTTCTGAGGTGTCTTGACAAGTGTCTGTTATATATATATACATAGAGCTATGTAATAAAATTGGCCTTTATGACAGGTTCTTGCATAATACAGGTGAACTTTCTTATTGAAACATAACTAAGAGATAATAACACATATTAAAATTGACCCTTATTGACAGGTGTCTCTGATATAGGGGTTTGTATGTCAGTTGTCCTTTATAGACAAATGGCTATGATAATTTTCAAATTGTGAAGACACAAGGTTCACCTTTACAATTAAAAAAATTAACTAACGAGAGTTTGATAAATTTGATAATCAACCAGCAAGCGCTTTAATTGGGACCCTTTTCTCCAGTAACATTCTGACATTATATCTAGAAAACTATATGTTACCCTCGGGAATACATTATTCCTGTTTCCGATTGGGGAAACAATTGCCATGAAATATGACGTCACAATGGAAGATGACGTCACAATGGAAGATGACATTGCAAAGCATTGATACTAGACGTTGGCTCAAAGAAATAATGTCCAGATTGTTACCCACTAGGGGTAACCAAAAATGTTTACCAATTCCGAGCGAGTTTATCAAATAACTCTGGAGTGAGGAAACCTATAGCAGTAGTGAGAGATAAAGATGTCCTTAATTGACAGGTGTCTGTTACATGAACAGGATATCAATATCCATTAAATAAGACATGATTTTTTTTACAGTGAAACACATTTTGTTTTATATTTATTTTTTGTCATTTAAGAATGTGTTTGGGCTGCGGTTTGATGATCCTACTTGGAAGAACCATATGAACTCTCTGAAGCCCCTGGTTAGTATGGTTGATTGTGTGGATGTGCATGCCTATAACTTGTGTTATATATGTCAGTAACAAAACTCACTATTAATGTTGTTATATCTGTCAGTAACACAACCCTCCCTATAGCTGGTGTTATATCGGTCAGTAACACAACCCTCCCTATTACTGGTGTTATATCTGTCAGTAACACAACCCTCCCTATAGCTGGTGTTATATCGGTCAGTAACACAACCCTCCCTATTACTGGTGTTATATCTGTCAGTAACCCAACCCTCCCTATAGCTGGTGTTATATCTGTCAGTAACACAACCCTCCCTATAACTAGTGTTATATCTGTCAGTAACAAAACTCACTATTACTGCTGTTATATCTGTCAGTAACACAACCCTCCCTAAAACTGGTGTTATATCTGTCAGTAACACAACCCTCCCTATTACTGCTGTTATATCTGTCAGTAACACAACCCTCCCTAGTGTTATATTTGTCAGTAACACAACCCTCCCTATAACTGCTGTTATATCTGTCAGTATCACAACTCTCCCTATAACTGGTGTTATATTTGTCAGTAACACAACCCTCCCTATTACTTGCTTTATATCTGTCAGTATCACAACCCTCCCTATAACTGCTGTTATATTTGTCAGTAACACAACCTTCCCTATAACTGCTGTTATATCTGTCAGTAACACACCCCTCCCTATAACTGCTGTTATATTTGTCAGTAACACAACCTTCCCTATAACTGCTGTTATATCTGTCTGTATCACAACCCTCCCTATAACTGCTGTTATATCTATCAGTAACACAACCCTCCCTATAACTACTGTTATATCTGTCAGTAACACAAATCTCTCTATTACTTGTGTTATATCTGTCAGTAACACACCCCTCCCTATTACTTGTGTTATATTTGTCAGTAACACAGCCCTCCCTATTACTTGCTTTATATCTGTCAGTATCACATCCCTCCCTATAACTGGTGTTATATCTGGCAGTATCACAACTCTCCCTATAAATGGTGTTACATTTGTCAGTGACACAACCCTCCCTATTACTCGTGTTATATCTGTCAGTAACACAACTCTCCCTATAACTGGTGTTATATCTGGCAGTATCACAACTCTCCCTATAAATGGTGTTACATTTGTCAGTGACACAACCCTCCCTATTACTCGTGTTATATCTGTCAGTAACACAACCCACCCTATTACTTGTGTTATATCTGTCAGTAACCCAAACCTCCCTATAGCTGGTGTTATATCTGTCAGTAACACAGCCCTCCCTATTACTTGCTTTATATCTGTCAGTATCACAACCCTCCCTATTACGTGGGTTATATCTGTCAGTAACACAACTCTCCCTATAACTGGTGTTATATCTGTCAGTATCACACCTCTCCCTATAAATGGTGTTATATTTGTCAGTAACGCACCCCTCCCTATTACTTGTGTTATATCTGTCAGTAACACACCCCTCCCTATAACTGCTGTTATATTTGTCAGTAACACAACCCTCCCTATTACTGGCGTTATATCTGTCAGTAACACAACCCTCTCTATAACTGCTGTTATATCTGTCAGTAACACACCCCTCCCTATAACTGCTGTTATATTTGTCAGTAACACAACCTTCCCTATAACTGCTGTTATATCTGTCAGTATCACAACCCTCCCTAGAGCTGGTGTTATATCTGTCAGTATCACAACTTTCCCTATAACTGGTGTTATATTTGTCAGTATCACAACTCTCCCTATAACTGCTGTTATATCTGTCTGTATCACAACCCTCCCTATAACTGCTGTTATATTTGTCAGTAACACAACCCTCCCTATTACTTGCTTTATATCTGTCAGTATCACAACCCTCCCTATAACTAGTGTTATATCTGTCAGTTACACAACCCTCCCTATAGCTGCTGTTATATCTGTTAGTAACACAACCCTCCCTATTACTTGTGTTATATTTGTCAGTAACACAACCTTCCCTATAACTGCTGTTATATCTGTCAGTATCACAACCCTCCCTATAACTGCTGTTATATCTATCAGTAACACAACCCTCCCTATTACTTGTGTTATATTTGTCAGTAACACAACCCTCCCTATAACTGCTGTTATATCTGTCAGTAACATAACCCTCCCTATAACTGGTGTTATATCTGTCAGTATCACAACTCTCCCTATAAATGGTGTTATATTTGTCAGTAACACAACCCTCCCTATTACTTGTGTTATATTTGTCAGTAACACAACCCTCCCTTTTACTGGTGTTATATCTGTCAGTATCACAACCCTCTCTATAACTGGAGTTATATCTGTCAGTATCCCAACCCTCCCTATAGCTGGTGTTATATTTTTCAGTAACACAACCCTCCCTATTACTTGTGTTATATCTGTCAGTAACCCAACCCTCCCTATAACTGCTGTTATATTTGTCAGAAACACAACCCTCCCTATAACTGGTGTTATATCTGTCAGTATCCCAACCCTCCCTATAGCTGGTGTTATATTTGTCAGTAACACAACCCCCCCTATTACTTGTATTATATCTGTCAGTAACACAGCCCTCCCTATAACTGGTGTTATATCTGTCAGTAACACAACCCTCCCTATAGCTGGTGTTATATCTGTCAGTAACACAACCCTCCCTATTACTGGTATTATATCTGTCAGTAACACAACCCTCCCTATTACTTGTGTTATATTTGTCAGTAACACAACCCTCCCTTTTACTGGTGTTATATCTGTCAGTATCACAACCCTCTCTATAACTGGTGTTATATCTGTCAGTATCCCAACCCTCCCTATAGCTGGTGTTATATTTGTCAGTAACACAACCCTCCCTATTACTTGTGTTATATCTGTCAGTAACCCAACCCTCCCTATAACTGCTGTTATATTTGTCAGAAACACAACCCTCCCTATAACTGGTGTTATATCTGTCAGTATCACAACCCTCTCTATAACTGGAGTTATATCTGTCAGTATCCCAACCCTCCCTATAGCTGGTGTTATATTTTTCAGTAACACAACCCTCCCTATTACTTGTGTTATATCTGTCAGTAACACAACCCTCCCTATTACTGGTGTTGTATGTGTCAGTAACACAACCCTCCCTATAACTGCTGTTATTTCGTCAGTAACACAACCCTCCCTATTACTATTTATTTAGCTTATTCCTCCTATTGTACAGTCCTATGTATTTCTGTCTGCTATATTGAAGTTAAGTCCATGTTAGTTTGGTATAGGTATTAAGGTTCACTGGTAATGTTGTGAGTGTGTGTTGGTGACTTAAATTAGACATGGAACATTCCAAGTGCTTGGACTACAATACACTCCCCCTACCAATATAATAGTATCCCCCAGTAAATTTGTGTATTGTACTGGTTGGAGTGGTCCATAGGGACATTCTGGGGACAGGTATATTGTTAGAGCTTGTGTTAGCATATGCTACATGTATGTATGCACTATACGAATGACAAGCGGATGTGTCAAACAAGTGTAAATCTGGTTACACATGAACTTTTGTCATAGAATTATTTACCTCCTGCTCCAGATACAGTCATTGTCAGAATGATATTTAATCTACATGTGACAAGGTCAATGACCTTAAGAACTTTAAAAAAACAATGAACGTAAAGGAAGACCTTACACAATCATCCAGTATAAATTGTAGAACCTGTGTTATAGGGTACCTATAACCTTAATAATGTACAGTATAAGTGAATGGATACACAAATAAGTTGTTTCCAGAGTTCTTGTCCAATGTATATTGTGTATTAGTCTAGAGTGGACTTGCCCATTTTCTCATAAAGCATGTATCTAGTGATTTACCCCATTTAGACTAATGGAATCTTCCCTTACTGTGCAGGTATAGCAGAGAAATCTTATCCGGAGGGGTGATATCTTCGATTGTCTAGTCCAAGGCTTACTTTTAGCTGAGATTTAGACATTAAAGAATATCACCCTGAGGGTTGAGATGTCCCTTGCATGCCCTCATAAGTGGGAATGATTCTTTCTCATCCGATTAATAGTGTATTTCAAAACAATGATATTTCCTAATTTACTCCTATTTTATCATTCAATGCCATCTAATTGTTCCTTTCAAATGTGTTATAATGTTAAATTAATGTACTGTATTAGCAACTATGATGCATATCTGCCAAAGGTTATTTCCCCTTACAAAGAAACAAGATGGTCTTTGTAGACACACCTGTGAAAGGTAGTCCCTGACATCAAGAAGTGAATTGACAGGGTTAACCCCGGTAATTCAGGAACTTTGGACTATGACCACAGTCACACACGCTTATTCATTTAGAAAACACTTTCTAGGTGGCAGAATGATTACAAAAGATAGGAAACCCAAAATGCAAGTTACTTAACACTCAAAATTTCAGATTAAAAATACTGATTTCTGAAAATAATAAAATTTGGAATTTTTTTTCCCTTAGTGATAAATATTGGAGTGTATATAGAGGTTCCCCAACAAGTGATAGTTGGTTATCATTGTGTCACCTGGCAACCTGAGGCGACATATAGGTATTACTTTGTTGGTGGCATCGTCCGAAACAAGGTTTCTGTGCGATAACTTATGTTCCCTTTGGTTGATTAAACTCAAACCTCATACAGTGCTTCCTTACTAAAAGTGCTTGCCTGTGATTGCTTTTCAGGTCTGAAGGTCAAAGGTCAAGGTCACCATTACTATAAATAGAGAATCTGTTTCCATGCGATAACTTGACATCCCTTGGGTTGATCGAAGTCATCGTTAATATAAATAGATCCTGTTTTCATCATCCCATCAGAGTTGCCTGCGCAGGCGTCTCATCCGCTTATGTGGAATTCTTGTTTTGACCTATCACGAGTTAGTTTACCAAGTGTCTTTTACATTTCAAAAATTAACTAATGAAAGTTAGATAAATGTAATAACCAGTGATCACAAGTTTTGGAACCTTGTTCTCACATAACATTACCGTGTGTATAGATTGTATGTACAGAACCATATGTTCCCCTTTTGGAATAAATTATTTCTGTTTCTAATTGGGAAAACGATTGCCATGAAATATGACATCACAATGAAAGATGATGGTGCAAAGCATTGCTACATGACATCATAATGAAAACAAAACATGTTTACCAACCCTAGCAGGTTAATACAGTGAGTTAGGGGTGAGGGAACCTACAGTGGTTGCAGGAGAAATATTCTACCATGATGTATCAGGATACAAATCCTGTGACATGTCACCAGGGACAATATAGACTGTAATTGTTTTGTATGAACAGGGCCTGAACATTCTGCTGAACACCTGTAATGCTAAGACGGTGGAGTGGTACACCCAGTTCACTGACCATGTGTCATCTGAGGCACTGGAGAACGAGGAAACAGTTGCTGTGGTTAACAGGAGGTACTGAATTATTGATAAAACATTGGTCATGTCTGGTAATACTTGTCATGTCTGGTAATACTTGTCATGTCTGGTAATATTGGTCATGTCTGGTAATACTTGTCATGTCTGGTAATATTTGTCATGTCTGGTAATACTTGTCATGTCTGGTAATATTGGTCATGTCTGGTAATATTTGTCATGTCTGGTAATACTTGTCATGTCTGGTAATACTTGTCATGTCTGGTAATATTTGTCATGTCTGGTAATACTTGTCATGTCTGGTAATATTGGTCATGTCTGGTAATATTTGTCATGTCTGGTAATACTTGTCATGTCTGGTAATATTTGTCATGTCTGGTAATACTTGTCATGTCTGGTAATATTGGTCATGTCTGGTAATATTTGTCATGTCTGGTAATACTTGTCATGTCTGGTAATATTTGTCATGTCTGGTAATACTTGTCATGTCTGGTAATATTGGTCATGTCTGGTAATATTTGTCATGTCTGGTAATACTTGTCATGTCTGGTAATATTTGTCATGTCTGGTAATATTTGTCATGTCTGGTAATACTTGTCATGTCTGGTAATATTTGTCATGTCTGGTAATACTTGTCATGTCTGGTAATATTGGTCATGTCTGGTAATATTTGTCATGTCTGGTAATACTTGTCATGTCTGGTAATATTTGTCATGTCTGGTAATACTTGTCATGTCTGGTAATATTGGTCATGTCTGGTAATATTTGTCATGTCTGGTAATACTTGTCATGTCTGGTAATATTTGTCATGTCTGGTAATACTTGTCATGTCTGGTAATATTGGTCATGTCTGGTAATATTTGTCATGTCTGGTAATACTTGTCATGTCTGGTAATATTTGTCATGTCTGGTAATACTTGTCATGTCTGGTAATATTGGTCATGTCTGGTAATATTTGTCATGTCTGGTAATACTTGTCATGTCTGGTAATATTTGTCATGTCTGGTAATTTTGGTCATGACTTGTAATATTGGTCTTGTCTAGTAATATTTGTCATGTCTGGTAATACTTGTCATGTCTGGTAATATTTGTCATGTCTGGTAATACTTGTCATGTCTGGTAATACTTGTCATGTCTGGTAATACTTGTCATGTCTGGTAATACTTGTCATGTCTGGTAATATTGGTCATGTCTGGTAATACTTGTCATGTCTGGTAATATTGGTCATGTCTGGTAATACTTGTCATGTCTGGTAATATTGGTCATGTCTGGTAATATTTGTCATGTCTGGTAATATTTGTCATGTCTGGTAATACTTGTCATGTCTGGTAATATTTGTCATGTCTGGTAATACTTGTCATGTCTGGTAATATTTGTCATGTCTGGTAATACTTGTCATGTCTGGTAATATTGGTCATGTCTGGTAATATTTGTCATGTCTGGTAATATTTGTCATGTCTGGTAATATTGGTCATGTCTGGTAATACTTGTCATGTCTGGTAATATTGGTCATGTCTGGTAATATTTGTCATGTCTGGTAATATTTGTCATGTCTGGTAATATTGGTCATGTCTGGTAATACTTGTCATGTCTGGTAATATTGGTCATGTCTGGTAATATTTGTCATGTCTGGTAATATTTGTCATGTCTGGTAATATTGGTCATGTCTGGTAATATTTGTCATGTCTGGTAATATTTGTCATGTCTGGTAATATTGGTCATGTCTGGTAATACTTGTCATGTCTGGTAATATTGGTCATGTCTGGTAATATTGGTCATGTCTGGTAATATTTGTCATGTCTGGTAATACTTGTCATGTCTGGTAATATTGGTCATGTCTGGTAATATTTGTCATGTCTGGTAATATTTGTCATGTCTGGTAATATTGGTCATGTCTGGTAATATTTGTCATGTCTGGTAATATTTGTCATGTCTGGTAATATTTGTCATGTCTGGTAATACTTGTCATGTCTGGTAATATTGGTCATGTCTGGTAATATTTGTCATGTCTGGTAATATTTGTCATGTCTGGTAATATTGGTCATGTCTGGTAATACTTGTCATGTCTGGTAATATTGGTCATGTCTGGTAATATTTGTCATGTCTGGTAATATTTGTCATGTCTGGTAATATTGGTCATGTCTGGTAATACTTGTCATGTCTGGTAATATTGGTCATGTCTGGTAATATTTGTCATGTCTGGTAATATTTGTCATGTCTGGTAATATTGGTCATGTCTGGTAATACTTGTCATGTCTGATAATACTGGTCATGTCTGGTAATACTTGCCATGTCTGGTAATATTGGTCATGTCTGGTAATATTTGTCATGTCTGGTAATACTTGTCATGTCTGGTAATACTTGTCATGTCTGGTAATACTTGTCATGTCTGGTAATACTTGTCATGTCTGGTAATATTGGTCATGTCTGGTAATATTGGTCATGTCTGGTAATATTGGTCATGTCTAGTAATATTTGTCATGTCTGGTAATACTTGTCATGTCTGGTAATACTTGTCATGTCTGGTAATACTTGTCATGTCTGGTAATATTGGTCATGTCTGGTAATATTGGTCATGTCTGGTAATATTGGTCATGTCTAGTAATATTTGTCATGTCTGGTAATACTTGTCATGTCTGGTAATATTTGTCATGTCTGGTAATACTTGTCATGTCTGGTAATACTTGTCATGTCTGGTAATAATTGTCATGTCTGATAATATTGGTCATGTCTGGTAATACTTGCCATGTCTGGTAATATTGGTCATGTCTGGTAATACTTGTCATGTCTGGTAATATTGGTCATGTCTGGTAATAATTGTCATGTCTGATAATATTGGTCATGTCTGGTAATACTTGCCATGTCTGGTAATATTGGTCATGTCTGGTAATACTTGTCATGTCTGATAATATTGGTCATGTCTGGTAATACTTGCCATGCCTGGTAATATTGGTCATGTCTGGTAATACTTGTCATGTCTGGTAATATTGGTCATGTCTGGTAATATTGGTCATGTCTGGTAATAGTGGTCATGTCTGGTAAGAGTGGTCATGTCTGGTAATATTGGTCATGTCTGGTAACACTTGTCATGTCTGGTAATATAACATTTTACTATTTTCGTAGCCTACAGGACAGCATGTATGCATATTTGCAGATAATTATTCTTTTCTCTTAGTTAATTAATGACAATTAGTAATTTTGAATGATTAAGTAATGCTTATTGGGAAAACAATTATTAGGAATGACAACTTTAACACAAATAACAGGTACAGTATGTAATCGTCAATATGTGTAACGTATTAAATACTGTAAAACCATAAATTTTCGTGGGACATTAAATTTCGTTTATTTCGTGGATAACAAAAATGCACGAAATTAAATCCCCACGAATACATAATTTTTGTATGATATAAATAGGGGGAAATCAGAAATCAGCGAAATATAATGTCCTTGGAACAGGCAAGTATATGAAAACCACAAAATTTGAACCCCACGAAAATAAATGATTCTACAGTAGGTCTTCACTTATTGAATAGTGTTTGTTATATCTCTGCTACAGATGTCTCTGTGAATTGGCCAGACAGATCGGTTTCTCAGAAAAAGCCATGGACATCTTCACTTTAGAACGTATACTGGGCATGTATAAACATGTGGTAAGTACTACACTGAACATGTAACTTATTTGTTTTCAAGGGTCAACATTTTCGTAGTTTTGTTGAAACGGGGAAATTTGCAAGCTTTATTATTTTAGTAGATTTCAAAAAAGTTTTTTGATAAAAATTGTGTTTCAGATCAGGTATCATGATTTAAACTAAACATAAACAGGTTGAACAAATCGGCAGGCATTCATGTGTCCTCTGTATACTTGTTTTTATGATTGTTTGTGTTTTGTTGTGGTCAGCCTGAATGGGGTCTTTGATGATGAGAAAATGGCTTTATTTGTCTAAAAATACTGCATCGTCATCTTCAGACTTACCAAATCCAAGAAATACACTGACAAAAAAAATTGTTGAAAATACAATTTATGCGTTTGAAGTACACATCTGTGTATTGATCTAAATCACTTAATTATTATTGTATCTGTGCTTAATATTTTTATCAAGGTTAAAGGCCATAACTGACCACATTTCAAGTGCTTTAAATCCTCCTTAGGGACTGGTAGTAATTAAGGGGATGTGAGTACAGTTTTTGACCAAGTAAAGGTGCCTGGTCTAATGAAGGTGTCTACGGCATTGACAAGCTTCTGAAGCATCAGTGGCTGTACACATCATTGACAAGCTTCTGGAGCATCAGTGGCTGTACACATCATTGACAAGCTTCTGGAGCATCCGTGGCTGTACACATCATTACTGACCAGGACTGCAGGTCCAAGTTATGAAATTAAGATTTCTTCTTTGATGTTATAACATCTAAATGGTGATCACTGACCCTAATTGTTATTACAGCATCCTGATGAGTCGGCCAAGGAGAGACTACACAGGGCCAAGTCTTTCATACAACACAAGATCCCAATGCCCAACCTGGTTTCTGTTGTCGTCAGGGAGAAAGCCTCAGGTCAGAATATTATTCCAAAATTATTATGAGTATCGTTGAGGTACTTAAAAATGTTAATGCTTAATGACGACAAGTTTAAGAGAATCACTTTTAACTAATCTAAATGTCTCGATCTCTCTTGGAATCTAAATGTCTCTATCTCTCTTGGAATCTAAATGTCTTAATCTCTCTTGGAATCTAAATGTCTAGATCTCTCTTGGAATCTAAATGTCTTAATCTCTCTTGGAATCTAAATGTCTAGATCTCTCTTGGAATCTAAATGTCTCAATCTCTCTTGGAATCTAAATGTCTTAATCTCTCTTGGAATCTAAATGTCTTGATCTCTCTTGGAATCTAAATGTCTTAATCTCTCTTGGAATCTAAATGTCTCAATCTCTCTTGGAATCTAAATGTCTTAATCTCTCTTGGAATCTAAATGTCTCGATCTCTCTTGGAATCTAAATGTCTCGATCTCTCTTGGACAGATAAACATAGCAGACTTTTTCTGTGCATTGCTAAAGTAATAAATTAAGGAAAGGAGTTTTTGGTTTTGAGTTTAATGATTTTCTGTTTAAGGGAACTACCCGTATTAACGTATTTACAAATTAGATACTACATATTGCAGAATATATATATGTATATCAAGGTTTAGGCCAGGTGTTATCCCTTGGTACTACTGACCTGCTGCTGGAATGTGTCCTGTGTTAATTGTTGTGTTACCTGTCATTGTGTTACCTGTTACAAGTTAAGGCCAGGTGTTATCCCAGGGTACTGCTGACCTGCTGCTGGGATGTGTCCTGTGTTAATGGTTGTGTTACCTGTCATTGTGTTACAGGTTTAGGCCAGGTGTTATCCCAGGGTACTACTGACCTGCTGCTGAGATGTGTCCTGTGTTAATTGTTGTGTTACCTGTCATTGCGTTACCTGTTACAGGTTTAGGCCAGGTGTTATCCCAGGGTACTGCTGACCTGCTGCTGAGATGTGTCCTGTGTTAATGGTTGTGTTACAGGTTTAGGCCAGGTATTATCCCAGGGTACTGCTGACCTGCTGCTGGGATGTGTCCTGTGTTAATGGTTGTGTTACCTGTCATTGTGTTACCTGTTATAGGTTTAGGCCAGGCATTTTCCCAGGGTACTGCTGACCTACTGCTGGAATGTGTCCTGTGTTAAGTGGTGTGTTACCCGTCATTGTGTTACCGGTTATAGGTTTAGGCCAGACATTATCCCAGGGTACTGCGGACCTGCTGCTGGGATGGGTCCTGTGTTAATGGTTGTGCTACCTGTACTTGTGTTACAGGTTTAGGCCAGGCATTGTCGCAGGGTACTGCTGACCTTCTGCTTGGATGTGTCCTGTGGTAATGGTTGTGTTACCTGTAATTGTGTTACCTGTTATAGGTTTAGGCCAGGTGTTATCCCAGGGTACTGCTGACCTGCTGCTGGAATGTGTCTTGTGTTAATTGTTGTGTTACCTGTCATTGTGTTATAGGTTTAGGCCAGGTATTATCCCAGGGTACTGCTGACCTGCTGCTGGGATGCTGTAGTGACTACTGGGATGGAGAAGATATCAGCATCCTCACAGAGAATGACAGGTAGCTAGATCAAACCAACTGTATTAGCTCACCTTGCCAGAGTCCAGGTAGAGGTTGTGGGATGGTACAGCAGTTGTCATAAACTTCTGATTCAAAAGCCTAATTCACCCAAAGCCCTGCACAGAATCGATTTGGTGTGAATGGTCAATTGGCAAGGTGATCCAATAGTTTCTGAAATAAATAATATAAGACTCTTTCATGCCCAGGGGTGTAGGATAGGGACATTCCACCCGAGCGGTTTTCAAATTTGGTAAAACCTGAGGCTTTGCCGAGGGTAAAGCCTCTGGTTTTGCCAAATTTGAAAATCCCGAGGGTGGAATCTCCCTATCCTACACCCTTGGGCATGAAAGAGTATTTTTCTCTCATTCCAACCACCAGATTAAGCCCAGAAACTATGAAAATGCGTTTGGACTGGCCACCATTTTTAAAATATCAATTTTTCCCCTGAGCTTTTGAGACGAAAACGAATCAGACAGCCAGATAAGCATATCCCATATTTGCAAACAATGTTTTCGCAGAAAAATTAATCACATCTTTCTAACGTGTATGGTAAATATATAATAAAATGTTTTAATTTCATCACGTCGCCTTTTTTGCATTGCGGCATCGGAGAGTTCCAAATTTGTGACGTCACGTCATTGTTGAGCCATTGTGACGTCACGTCACGTGAAATGGGGTGTAAGATAGAAATTTCCTACACCCCTTTCTTACCCTGGACAGATCTATCTTACACACAGTGAAATGAGAGAAAGTTGATTCCCCCACCCCAAGGGGAGAGGGGTTAGACCCCAAGGAAATAGGGGGATTTGATTTAAAAGCCTACTCTTTTCAAACGGTTGCATGGACTGTTACCATTTTTGGTCTAAAACAAGTCTGTCTCTCTATAGATATAATGAAAATTCATGTTTATGTTATGCGTTTTGAGGAAGAAGATCCTGGACTTCTACCACCGGACTAGCATGGCATCGTACTGTACAGCATTCTCCTACCGTCCACTCACCCAACACATCTCCCCTCACTTAGATAACCTGTACATACAGCTGTCACATTGTGGCGAAGTCATCTTCAACTCCTGCAGCGAGACACCAAGGTCAGTATTCAGGGCTGGAAATTAATTTTGAATACCGCTAGTTGATTGGGGAATTAGTTTCTGATTTTTACTAGTCCATGTGTAAATTCCACTCACCTAACAAGATAAGCAATATCAAATTTTGACTGGTCAATCGGACTAGCAGTTTTAAAACCACTAGCCAGTTCACTAGTCTCAGACTATCGGGTTACCCTTATTGTCTAGCCTTGAGACATGTCATGTACTGACACAACCTGAATACAATGTATGATAATATGGAAATATGAAAAAATCACATTACAGAGTACTTTTCTCAGTGAAACACCAGATCTGAAAGAATATGATATTTAATCCAGAAAAAAAAAACATTTTTGAAAATTGCAGTACTGGTGTTTGACGTTTTGATGTAGTACTGGTGTTTGACGTTTTGATGTAGTACTGGTATTTGACGTTTTGATGAAATATGAGATTAGTATGCATTTACTCTATATTATTGATCAGCTGCATGTTGTGACCAACTAGAATCTTTCTTTCATCAAGTTGCATTAAAAAAAAGTCGGAGTATGATCATTTCTTAATTCTTGTAAAGTTTGGTTCACCTAATCATTGGTTTGTTTGATGTTTGTTTAAGGAACTCCAATACGGATTCCAATGTGGACTTAGTGCATGAGACACGCCTGCTGAGTGACAGTTCACGTGCATTCAGTGTAGACTCCCTGTTTGACACGACCAGCATCTCCTCCATAGAGGATATTCCTGGCTGTTGTCAAGCCCAAAACAACCAGATATTCATAGGAATGGTATCTATGCAGTACCAGGCAAGACAGGTAAGATCCCAAGATCAGGTTCATACCATATTTAGTTGAAAGCATTTGCATGTAATGATGACCAAAATATATACAAGCGAATGGGCTGAAGGGTGGGGCATTAAATGTGTAACTTGGCCATATTGCTTTGAGCCACTTCTCCCCTGGAACCATAGTTGTTTGGCAACATCCCATCGAGGGGTATTCAGAATTTTACAAATAGAGGGGCTGATCCCCGGGGACGGAGAAGACTGACAGTTGAGGCCAATGGAATTGGTTGGGATACCCACCCTATATCAATAACATATACAATTGCTGGTGAGCACAATGTAATTTTGAGTGTTGCTAGATAGTTATTAATTTGTTACTCGAAAATAATTTCAGAAGATAAATGCATTAAAATGAGCGAAGCTTCAGATAAGTTCAAACAGATTTATCTTGGTATTTTGATTGTCATTTAAATTTTGTAAGATAAGGTGACAGAAGAGCATACTAAAAGTAAAATGTCTTTAAATTCTGCTTAAAAGAAATAAAGGCTATAGATTACATGAAAGTTGTGATCTCAATTAATGCTAAAAAAAAGGTTGATACTTGATCCTATATAGTATTCAGTACCAACAGTTACTATTATTTACAAAAAGGTGTAATTTTTTGGGATTTTGACTCTAAATTGGAATGAGAAATACATAAGCTAGACACTTGGAGGAAATATTTTTTGTGGATTCTGTTTCTGATGTTACTTATTTGCCATCTGTAGAGGAAGGGAGATAATCCTTTTTTGCTTTTGTATAAAAGTAGAATAATTTTAAAAATTATACTACGATTATTGATAAATTTGAACAAATACAAGTGTATTTTGTTCAACCAATCATCAACACACATTTTGAATGTGTGATATTTTAACAATCACATTGAAATCTTGCACCAAAATGTGTAAATCATCACAAGCTCTTGCTCACTGTTTTGTGCGTTTTTAAACAGTATATAACTGTGGCTTATTTTTACATGTGTTATATTATTCCTGCTGATCGTATTTTTGCAATCATATTAATGACCTGTAAAAGCAACAAAACATCATCCCTGTGGACATACCCTGCTGTACAGTATTAGAATTCTCAGCAGACTTTATTCTATAATTCAATATGATATGTAACTGTTGCCTGATTTTCAGGAAGTTGTGCAACTAATTGAAAAACTGGAAGTGGCCTGCATCAGATTCGTTCACTTCTCTCAGGAGAATGAAGTGAGGAGTAGGGTAAGTGTTGTGTTGTATGGATGAATGAAAAATTGTTTTAGAACTCCAAGGTTGAACAGAATTCTTAATAGGGGTCATCACATTCGATGCTTAGGAAACTGATTTCTTAGGGTTTATTGTAGACATGATGAAATGATTTCTCAACTCTTCTGGAGTTTTTTTTATAGATATGTTTAATAGGTATATTTATTATTATAAGTTTTGAATTTTTATATTAAAAAAAAGTAGTGGTTTAAAACATTCTGACTACCAGGTAATCTAATAATTGTTTGTCAAGGTTTTTGCAGAGAAGATGGGTCTAGAAGCTGGATGGAACTGTCACATATCCATGTTGTCTGATCCTGCCCTCAAGGGGGAAACAGTGGCTTCATCTGCAGCTGACCTGCCACACCGCGTGTCTCGTTACTCCAGCAGGAACTCGTCCGACACAGTCGCCAAGGATACAAACATGGTGTCCTCCAACTACAAACATTCCCAGGATTCCATGCACTCGCGCTGTCAGAGTGCTCCCAGCATTGTCAACTTAAACTCCTCTCAAGTAAGATTTGAGATGACAACTGATACATCCAGTAGTGAACCCCGGTCTCCTCGAGTGTATATAGGGGAGAGAACTCCGTTAACAACAGATGGGGAAGATGAGGACGAAGTTCTGTTTACAAACACAGAGCTGTCCAAGAGCTACAGTAGCCAGTGTAATACAAACCAGGACCTTGACAACATCACAGACATAGAGAGTCGTCATGCGTCTAGTTACTTTACAGAGAATACAGACAGTCTTACTGGGGCCTTGGACAACAGGGTAAGATTCTAACACACATTGGTTTGTAGTTAATATTTCAGACTGTACTAAACACACTCAGTACTATTAAAACAATGTCTGTAGGACATCTTATAATAGTGCCAACTGTCATTCTAAATGATTTCTTAAAAGAGTTTTGATATAATTTTTTATTTATTTATTTTTGGACAGGCTAAACTTCCTCGGGGTATAGAGAACATTCGACCTCATTTACAGACTGTTGATAATGTCCCCCTTCTAGTCAACTTATTCACAGACTGTACATCTGAAAGTAAGTACAACTCTCAGCTTCTAGTATAAACAATATTAACATTCCCTGACTTGCCTGTTTTATCATGCAATTTTACATACATGTAAGCTTTATTTTACAATAATTTGAAACAAGTTTTTCTATACACTATTTACATACATTGGCCTGTCTAGGTTATGCCATACAATATTTACATACCCTTGCCTGTCTAGGCTATGATATACAATATTTACATACCTTGGCCTGTCTAGGTTTTTCTATACAATATTTACATACCCTTGCCTGTCTAGATTTTGCAATACAATATTTACATACCTTGACCTGTCTAGGTTTTTCTATACACATTTCACATTCCTTGGCCTGTCTAGGTTTTGCTATACACTTTTTACAAATCTTTGACATGTTTCTACCTCAGCAACACAGGAGATGATGAAGATCATGCAGGAGTTCGGGGAGGTGGTGATGTGTGTCGGCAGCTCAAACAACATCAACAATACTGCCATTTTCCTACAGGCTGATTGTAGGTAGGTGTCACATCACTGGTAACAATGACGCTCAGGGTAGATAATGCAATTTATATTGAAGCTATAAATTCTATTCTCATGAAAAGTATTCAGGATTAGTTTACTTTATAAAAACTTCTTATAAAATTAAACTTTAATGACGTAACATCTATGAGATACCAACAGTAATATCAGTTTTAGATTGAATGCACCTTTTCATTCTTCAGATAGCTTCTTCAGTTTTAATTTTTAATTTTATACAACTAGCTAAATTGTGTTATCATATTTAACAAATATATTGTGATTGCCAAGAATCCTTATAAAAATGAAAACAGTAGCTTGTGATACCCTGCTGATGTTTAATCCTTGACCCCAGCCTGGCCCTGGAGCCCCTATACCCCCAGGTGTGTGCTGTGGACTCTATGATGACCAAGCCCTGGAAGGAGGACCAGCTTACTCCTATGCAGCTGGCCAGTACCCTCATCAGCATTCCATGCCCTCTGACTTTTAGGAAGGAGGACAACATCAGTCTCATCAAGCTCATTGCAGAGGTGATAGTGTGTTCCCAACATATATATGTTATACTCTAAAATAAAAGTAAAATAAATATTGGATATGCACTGAAAGAGGTGTAGTATTAGAACTTATTTAGGTGATGTAGTACAATATTTATATTAGGACACACTTTTTGACAGAGGTGAAGTAGTATGATATATATTTTGGAGCACACTTATTGAGGTGAAGTACAAGAGATATATATATTGGAACATACTTATTCAGGTGATGTAGTACAATGATACTAATATCTTGGGTCACCTAGCTGATAAATGATTACCTGTAAACTGATTGTTGTATATATCTTCCTGGTAAATGTGAAGAGTATTTTAATTTCAAATGACCAACCAATATGTGTCATCTGCTTTCATAAATTTTGATAATTTATATTAACACAACTGCGAGTTACTTTAAAATATTATATTTAACTCCTTTTTTGTCATTTTGTACCAAAGGCACGATCATTTCTGATGAGCAGCCGGAACTGCTTTTACCTGATGTTGTGTTACCACCTGACCGTGAGCCTGGTCCAGCTGCTGGGCAGCATGGTGTTGCTGCCCCCTGTCCTTGCCTCTCAACATCTTCTCTGGATTCTCTTCATTGTCATCCCATTCCTCTCCTTAAGCATGATGGGATTGCCCGTCGATCCTCGTGTGATGAACAATGCTACCACACACAACTCTGAGTATATAACCAAGGATGTAAGTAAATACAGGGAAACGTTGTTACTGTAAACATATACTTGTTATTTTATCTTCAATTGTAAGACAAGGGCCAATGTAGCATTTCATGTAATATGCAAATTATTACACAAAAAGCTGTTGAAGTTCTCAAAACCTGTCCTGTTATTCTTCAGGTGGTGCAGCAGTTCCTGCTATATTTCGTGACGAGATTTGTACCAGCGGGCCTGGTCTGTCTCCTGTGTTATGCCCTTACCCTCCACTCTTTCTGTGCTGGGGATCACACCCCCCAACCTTCCTGTGCAATCTACGTTTTTGGGTAAAGTGTTCTTTTAATCTTCATATTTATATAGATATATATATATGTAATAGTGTATCAAAACCACTTTGACTATTTGTGTTATACTGTACTTTTTATTTGATTTTAATTAAATTGTTATTTTCAGTGCAACCATATTATTTACAACGGATGATGAATTCAGGTACAGTTGAGTCTAATTAAACCAGCCACTGCTTATCTGGTAGTTGTGGTTAATTGGTTGGTCGGTCGGTTGGTTTTGGTTGATTGGTATGTGGGATATGCCTTGGGATGAAGGGGGCTGGAATAAGTTGATGTCACCATGCAGAGTGGATATAAATTTTGTACACGTCATAATTTCTACCATGTGCATGTATTTTAGATATCTGAAATAAAACCAGGACGTGTACCAGGTAATTGATACAGGAGCTACATCCTGTATCATACATGCCATATCTAGTGATTTGAGACTTACAAAAAATTGCCTCATAAAAATTAAGTAAAATGTAAATATTCTTTGACACAGTACCAATAGCAGTGACCAACTGTGGTATGACAAGTATTCCGGGGGCCTGGTGCTCGCCCAAAATGTCTTCACCTTTTATCTCGTCTTTTACTTTGGTAAGTTGTATGTTAATTCACTGTTCTGTTGAGTCATTTGTATGAAATTTGATGGGTATTGATTTACTCACTTAAATCGATTTTGTCTTCATGTTCAGTATATGAACACAGGGGGTGTTCTCGTTTCCCCCACTTTTTATATAACAAAGGAAAGTGTTGATTTAGGAAGACAATGGCAAACCAATTATAGTCTGTTTCATACTTACCCCACAGGTAACTTACCTGTGTGAAAGTTACTTGTGTGAAAGTTACCAGTGTGACATGTTGCTTTGTTGTATATGTTGGGTATAAATAAGGTTTTAATACTTTTTTTGGGTTCAAATATCTTTATATATAATCGATATATGTTTATACTTATACATATGTAGAGTTTACAGTCAAATATTTACATTACACTTTTAAACAGATAATATAGAATATAACAGCACTACATAAGAGTTCACAATCAAGTATTTCACTATTTATACATAATGATTACATTTCAATTATATTACAATTTTTAAACATACAACCGTCAATGCATATTAATCATATTAATTTATATTACACTGTTTAGGCCACCAAATACAAGACAAGTTTAACATTACATTTTAAAACATATTAAGAAGTTAAATCCATCAATATAAACTGTACATTACATTTACTAATCACACAATACAAATACATTAACAATATTCACATATTGAGAATAGTAAAATTTAGTAATAGAAATCTCAAATTGGCCCCCCTCAAATTTATAACATATCTCCAATTTAAAGTTCATGTCCAAGAGGCACACATTTTTGTTGTTATCTATCCCAAATGTAAGAGATGTGATGCTGCATTGTCGTACTCCATAAGATCCATCGTCTGGTTCTCAAGGCGCTCCTGTTTCGGTATCGTTTCTCGCGTGGTCTGTTGACTCCTCCTGCATCTCGTTGTATCCTGTTGATCTCGTTGGCTGCCTGAATCTCCTGGAACACTCTAATGATGGCGAAGATGTTTGGATGTACATGGTGAACCTTCTTCTTCATAATCTCTCTGGCGATGACGTTGGCATGGTCTGAAGGATGGGTGTGCTGGCGTTGTCCAAACCGTACTGGAATATCATTTAGTGTAGTCAGTGTGGCAGGGCAGGTGGCATCAACACAGGTCCAGTAGGTCCTCTCACCTCTGTTGTTCTTAACAATGTAATACTGCTTGAGCTGTACAGTTGGATATGACTGCCCCAGAATGATTGTTTGCTGTATATAACCAATTTGGCTTGGATATTCATCATCAGCTTGGATACAAATTAAGGAGTGCTTAAATAATGGTAACATGCATCATCATCTTAGTAATTAGCATAGGTCGTGATTACTTTTAGCTCACCTGGATGGAAATGATAGCTTGGATAATTATAGATGTTCAATGCTTTTTATGATAGTTATAAGATATTTATAACATCTAGGAATTTTGATTGATTAACTGATTAATTAACTGTTAAACACCACACTCTTAGTCACACATTACATTCTTACATTTTGTACAAGGTAATGTAGGCATCTTATTAAATGTTACAATAATAAAGGTTATTTAAAGTAAATTTTAATGTACTAGAAAATGAAATAACACATTTCATCTTATCATATCAGCAGCACAAGGACTACACAATGGATATATTTAATACTGAATATATATATTTACATATATGATTAATATTTAAATAATTTTAGTTTTAATATTTGTCATTACAAATCTGAAAAAACTTGTATAATGTATTATCAAATTAAATATGATAAAACACCACCTTAGATAGAAGGGTTAACCACAGGTAAAAACACAGGCAAACACAGGTAAAAACACAGGTAAATACTGCACATACTACTTAGAAACAGACTATAATCCTTCTAACAACATTCTTCCCCCCATGTTATTTTAAAAAGTGGGGGAAAAGAGAACAAGCCGAACACAGGTTTCTGATAGGACAAGATTTATTCTGTATCAATCAGCTGGCTGAAATTCTAAATAACTACACATTTATTGAGGTGTGATTTTTCAAAATAACAGAAAATGAAATGCTCAAATTAAACTGGACTTTTCTACCATTTTGCAACAATTAACAATTGATAAGATCTAGTAGCCAGCTCGACTTCTATACTTGATTTCTAACCTGTTTCAGTTGTGATATCTGTGAGTTTTGTCCACTGGTCAGACCACATCTGGCAGCAGAACCCCCTCACTAACCGTCTGTGGGTGTGTACTGTCCTACTGCTGTAAGTACTCCTCTGCAAAGCAACTAGCAGCATAATAACTAATTATTAATACTTCTACTTACGAAAGTTTTGAAAAATCTTGAATAATACAGAGAAACCTGTTTAAACCATAATCCAATAGAACCAGCAATTCCATTTGGAATGGACAGATTTCAGATTAATCTTTCAATATATATATATGTATATAGTTTGATTTTCCAGATTTCCAGTGTTGATGTAGACATATTATGCATGGTATATTGTGTTCTGTGCAATTTTGGAAAGTAGGAAATAATGATCAGCAAGTATATTCATTTTACAACTAATTTTGGACACAACTCTTACATATCATGACTCCTGACCCCATTTGTGGACACTGGGTCTGATATGTTGATGAAAGATCTGTGCATTGTGTGTTTGCATGCATTCCTCAAGTAAGATTCATATTCCATTTAAATCAAGTATGTGAAATGTGAATTATGAATTCGTAAGTTTTCTAACCCTGTGTATAAAGATTTTATTTGTATGTTTCCTCACTCCTGTGTGAAAAGTGTAGATTTCTGTTCCCTCACTCGTGTATGTGAAGTGTAGATTTGTATGTTTTCCCTGTGTGTGCAGTGTAGATTTGTATGTTTTCCCTGTGTGTGCAGTGTAGATTTGTATGTTTTCCCTGTGTGTGCAGTGTAGATTTGTATGTTTTCCCTGTGTGTGCAGTGTAGATTTGTATGTTTTCCCTGTGTGTGCAGTGTAGATTTGTATGTTTTCCCTGTGTGTGCAGTGTAGATTTGTATGTTTTCCCTGTGTGTGCAGTGTAGATTTGTATGTTTTCCCTGTGTGTGCAGTGTAGATTTGTATGTTTTCCCTGTGTGTGCAGTGTAGATTTGTATGTTTTCCCTGTGTGTGCAGTATTGACTTGAACATTTTACAGAATGTGTGGCCAGGTGGTGCTGTTTGTCTGTGATATGTCTATAAGAGGAGCAGGTCAGCACCGACTTATGTCTCTAGCCAGTGTCCATCCGGCCGTATGGGGTGTCGGCTTTAGCTTCCCTCTGGTCATCCTTCTCATCAACGAACTGGTTAAACGGCATGAGGTCAAGTAAGTGACTAAAATAACTATGCTAAATATTTGTACATTTCACCCTACTGTTATCATTTCAATATGAAATTGCAACGTGAATCTGAAACGAAATTTTCAGATTTGAAACCTAAAAAAGAACATTCATGTTCTTTCTAAATCAGCAGTCACAGGACAGGAAAAAATCATCTTTCAATCCAGAGGATATGAATGAAATGGCACTTCTTCGCTTTATCTTGTTCACTTTTTCTGTCCACAATTAAACTTTTTATTTTAAAGATCAAGCAATTGTACACAAAATTCAGTTTGATTTTTTTTTTTTTTTCAGACTGTACTCTCGATACCAGAAACGCACACGGCTCAACTTTGGTACAAAGCTTGGCATGAATTCACCATTTTGATAAGATTTGTTGTTAATGAATGCATCTTTCAACTTGTTAAATACTTAACAATGGAACAGCACAGAAACTGACTTGTGTATTGGAAACTTGAGACAGCATCAGGCTTATGGTAGATATTGTGAAGCCACCTAGCGATATCAGCAAGGTTTTGTTGATGGACCGACGTCAGCAGCCCACTACCAGATGCTGGAAACAGACACAAACCATGTTTTGTTGGTTATTACAGGCAGGCTTATTGGTCACTGTATCCAAATCGTCTCACTCATTTAGTGTTAAATCATCTACTGCCCTATATTAACAGTGTCAGACCTTGGAACTGATAATGCATGACCTTACAAACTGAACCATGCCCGCATCTTTTCCACCGGACTGCTATAACTGTATTAATATGACTTGTTCAGTCTGCAATTGGATGACCTTATAAAACTTCAAACTCAAAGCTTATAAATGTATTGAACTCAGATTTAGATTACAATCTATGTGAGGTACATAAGACCATTATACTGTAGTTTTAAAGGGCAATAGTTAATGTTTACCACAAATCAATATGATATCATTGACAAATTGATACTTAAGGGTCAATGTATTACCAGGTACTTCGTTTAATACAGATGCTGTAATCTAAGATGCACCACAAATTGTAGGTAGAGCAAGGTGTCGAATCAAAACACTGTCTTAATGATGGTAAGTCTGTCTTTAACATTATAAGCATTATAGGCCATTATTCAGGAGAGGGCTTGTATAGGCATTACGCCTGTTGCCCAATTCCTTTTGAATTTGTATATGCTACAATATTCAATAAAATCTTTGTGAAATTGTAAAACAGGCCCATATTAAATTGATTCAATAAAAGATAATCTGGAAATCTGCCCTTCCTGTGCAAATCGTTCACTTCTTGTCAATCTTGCTCACTTCTTGTACACAGTGTTAACTTCCTGTACACAGTGTTAACTTCCTGTACACAGTGTTAACTTCCTGTACACAGTGTTAACTTCCTGTACACAGTGTTAACTTCCTGTGCACATGGATTAAATTCTAGTACTGTTCTATAATCTTAGAGCTAACCTTGCTGGGCTTTCTCCAGCTAAGTGCGGTACCTTGTACTTGACTTGAGATTTGATGATGATGTAATCATTGACTTGAGATTCGAGAGATGTTGTAATCTCATGGTATACCATGGCTTTACTGTTATTTAAATATACAAATTGTTTTTACATTGTTTTTAACCTTAAGTTTGCAATGCTGATTTTATTTATGTATATTTCTGTAAGCCAAAGAGATTTGAAACACAGCTGTTACATCACTGCCAAGCATTGTTTGTAATACCTTATCTGTAAATGTTTGTACTCCAAATCACTCGGTTAGTTGATTGTTTATACATGTACTATTAAAATCCCATCTATACGTTAATTGTTTATACTCCATAATAACTCATCCCTCAGCTGAATGTTTATACCATTTATATTTGATCTATAACTTATTTATACTTTGAATCACTAAAGTGTAAGTTAATTGTTTATACTCCGTAATTACTCATCCCTCAGCTGAATGTTTATACCATTTATATTTGATCTATAACTTATTTATACTTTAAATCACTAAGTTAATGGTGTTCATGTCCTTATAGGTTCATCAATATCCTAATTGTTTGTGCAAGATTACTGAAAGTCTTTGGTGATTATCTATCTAACAAGATCATCCTAATTATTGGCTTCAGTGGTCTTAGATATTGTAATACATGTACCACGTTTTTACCAAAACCCAAATACATGTACCATTACATCAATCACAAAAAAAAATCTCATTGAAATCCATTGCAGGTTTGTCAGAAGTAAAAACCCTTATTGATCATCCATTACCAGTTTGATGTGATTAAAATCAAATTATAAAACTTCAAACATCAGTCTATTGTATCAGAAACAAACAAAAATCATTGAGTTTACATTGTCAGTCTGTTATATCGTAAAGAGTGATCTCACCGACATCTGTTACGATCAGTCACAAATGGAGTTTAGTTTGCTGTGTTACTCACTCCCATCTATATCTGTGTTCTGATTTGATATTTTCATTTCTGTTTGTTGCAATAATCACATCATGTCATAATATTTTCATACCTGGCCTACAATCATGAAAATATTTCAGTTCCATTTCAAAATGTGATTCATACATAACCGGTACATGTACAGGTATTATAGTAAATATTTTAAACTTTTTTCCAAATATATATATATTTTTAACATATGAAATTTGGACTTGGGTCTAAGACTGTTTTATGAGCCTGAGGTCACATAGAACAGATATATTGTTGCCAAAACTCCATTTCTTGTTCAATGAGAGCTTCTGTTTACATTATACTGATACCTGTACGAAGTTTAACCCAATTAGCCATGGCCAGCTCCTTCACTTGAAATGTGTGTGTAAAATGAATGTTTGTTTAATGTTTTGGATGAGTCTGTGTGCCTGTACTGGTCTTTTGGACTGTCATTATCAGTCTCTCTTACCCAGATATACAAATATGATTTAGTGTGTGGATGAACTTGTGAAGGGTCATAGAAATAATATAATGTGGTTGGACAATACATTGACATAGATATTTATTTTTCATGTTTTTTACAAAATTTAAAATAATAGAAGAAGAAAAAAGTTTTTTTTTTACTTGATTGTCATCATCTGACTTTATTTAAGGATCCCTGTCCCACTGCAATGTGCTTTTACCTATATACAGTTACCTCCCCTTAACTTCCGCTTGGATATAACTGTAGCACAGTTGGACAATGGTACTTCTGTTGACCAGGTAGCACAATCGGTTGGAGCGATAGTATATCAACCTGAAGTCCAGAGTTTGAATCCCGGTCTTACCTCTATGTTGGGTTTTTTTACACTAAAACAACTGTTGTTGATTATATTTTGTTTATTTCATCATTTTTATTTCTCATTAAAGTCCCGCAAAGTTGGGTTTTCTTTTCATAAACAATTAATTAAAGCTATAGTCATGCTGGAAAAAATAGTTTCAAACACATCGTTAAAATTTTTGGCAGTGGTACGGTGATCCTTAAATCAAATAATTTAGAAACATTGATTCCTAGCAAGCTTACAGCATCCACAACATAGATAGTGATTCCTAGCAAGCTTACACCATCACAACATAGACAGTAATTTCTAGCAAGCATACAACATCCACAACATAGACAGTGATTCCTAACAAGCTTACAACATCCACAACATAGACAATAATTCCTAGCAAGCTTACACCATCCACAACATAAATAGTGATTCCTAGCAAGCTTACAACATCCCCAACATAGATAGTGATTCCTAGCAAGCTTACCCCATCACAACATAGACAGTAATTTCTAGCAAGCATACAACATCCCCAACATAGACAGTGATTCCTAGCAACTGTACAACATCCACAACATAGACAGCGATTCCTAGCAAGCTTACACCATCCACAACATAAATAGTGATTCCTAGCAAGCTTACAATATCCACAACATAGACAGTGATTCCTAGCAAGTGTACAACATCCACAACATAGACAGCGATTCCTAGCAAGCGTACAACATCCACAACATAGACAGTGAATCCTAGCAAGCTTACAACACCCACAAGATAGATAGTGATTCCTAGCAAGCTTACAGCATCCACAACATAGATAGTGATTCCTAGCAAGCTTACACCATCCACAACATAGACAGTGATTCCTAGCAAGCTTACAACATCCACAACATAGACAGTGAATCCTAGCAAGCTTACAACATCCACAAGATAGATAGTGATTCCTAGCAAGCTTACAACATCCACAACATAGACAGTGATTCCCAGCAAGCTTACAACATCGTCAACATAGACAGTGATTCCTAGCAAGCTTACAACATCCACAACATAGACAGTGATTCCTAGCAAGTGTACAACATCCACAACATAGACAGCGATTCCTAGCAAGCGTACACCATCCACAACATAAATAGTGATTCCTAGTAAGTTTACATTTACAATCTGAGACAGTTAAACATTCCATTGTGTTGTCTGTGATAGTGTAAGATGGGAGGCAACCTAGCTAACTTTGACTTCTATCCTATTTAAGTGACAAACATCTATTTGATCTGTTTGAAGTACTGTAACTTACTGTTAAGCATGACAGCATTGTAAAGTAATCAATTACATTGGAAATGTTTTTATAGCTACCGGAGAATTTCAACATGTGTATAATTTGCAAAGCCTGCCCCATAGATTAGGACTACAAGCAGTTTTAGTGTTATGTTGTATGTTCACACTTACGATATCTTACTATCTATACCTCATTTCTTATTATATGTTTTTCTGTTTAAAGTATGAAATTGTAAACTATAAAATTAAAATTACATGTAGTTAAATGTATAATTTTATTTATTGGAAGAGGAAGGTTTTTGTTTTATTAATTTCCATCTTGTACTAGTGCTTTATTATAGAAATGTGTTTTATGAAGGAGCACTAAAACAACTGACGCATGTGTTCAATCTTAAATGTTCCAAAGGTCATCATTTTAATCAAAATATAACAACCGGTGTTAATCAACTGTTTAATTAACGTATATTTTTAACTAAAAACTTCTCCCATTTAATGGGTGACAGGGGAGTCTAATATAAGGGCAATTATGATATAATGTCATTTATCATCGTATTTAGTGTAGGGAATATTTCACTAACTGATGGTGGTTGTATTATTGTCCCGACCTAGGAACAGTCCTCACATCCTAAATTACCTAGTATCTTTTGGAATAATTAATATAAAAATATAACTGTGTTAAGATCTGAACTGGAATGAATATTTTGTTTACCTATAGCAGATTATTTTGATTTGTTTACTTACCCTGTTCGAATCAAATGTCATTTTTCAATTTTAATGACATGGATTTCATAATAACAAATCATATATAGTAATATTTATACATACAGATTTCACATCATTCTCCTCATGGAATATCCACCAGTTTTAGTTGATCCTACTGTTTTTACTTTAGAGTGAGAACCCAATTTGACAATTACCACAGAACTCCTTCATTAGTGTTGTTATCATCAAAAGAGAAATGGAGTTATTTCCCTTAGTCTTCTAAACATGCATGGTATTTATTCATTCTAACTGAATTATGATAAGAGGAAAATTGGATTAATCATAGTTCATGACACTTTCATCTGATGACAATTCCTACTGCTGTGAGTAAAGATCTAGTCCTGGGCCAAGTTGCTCAAAAAGGGGTTAGCTTAATCACTGTTTAACGACATTTTTCATCCTTTAACGATATCGTCAATATACAAAGCAAAATCTCACAATTTTGCATGTATATCACTCTACTAAATATTTGATATCTGGAAAGTTGTAACTAATTCAATGGTTGTGTTTTAAGTTACGCTAAAATTAAAATTTGCGCTTATCACTGATTAAGCTCATCACCTTTTGAACAGCTTGGCCCTGGTATCATTATTATAGTAGTCACTTTCATGTCACCATCTTAACTCCAATCTCTTAAAAACAGCATGGCACCTTGTTTTGCTGGTGCTGTATCTAATCATGTATTACTGAATTACTTGTTTTTTTAAGATTTTTTTAACCATAAAAGTGCTATCATCCGTAGTTAATTATGATGTATGTTTACAAGTCCTATTTGATATTGGTACAAACTGGAGAAATTGGGGTCATTCACACGTGTCTGAAGTCTGTGCTGGAATGTATGATAATAATATTAAAGTTAATGATGACAAACTTATAGCTATTTATCTGAAAGCATAAGATTTTTAGTCGTGATATTTGGATCATAGAGTTTGCAGGTGTGACATACTTTGAAATGTCCAAGTTAATCAAATTGTCAGAAATTCAAGTTCATATGTGTGAAATATACCTGTAAATTCGAACTCTTCAAGAATGAAAATGCCTAGTGCTATGATATTTGGCCTGTATCTTGCAGGAGTGAAGAGTTACCAAGTTCATTCAAATAAATAGCAAAATTCAATATGATCGCTTTGGCGTTTTAATTGGCTTTTTTGGGGAAATAAATCAGTTTTATTAACCGTTATATACACTAAACTTGGGATAGCATGTTGTATTAACATCATTATTTAAACTAAATGAGTGATAGTTAATTTTTAAATGTCATTATTGGTAAACTAAATAACCACAACATCAAAACTATCAGTTATCATTAAAATCATTGGGATATAACATGATAAGTCATTTTTTGTCCAAGGCAAAGTTGTAGCAAACCTCCTCAACAAAAATATCAGATGTTAAATCAAATTTCAATTGGAGTGTTTAATAATTGCACCAAAATCATTCATTTAACTTTGCATTTTAAGTGTCATTGAGCTAACCCAGTTTGTCCAAATCCTGAGAAGTTGATAATAGTGTTACTACTGACCCGTGTAACCCTACAGTATTCTATCATTGTGTCATAGGAGCTGTGGCTGGAGTAGGTTTACCTCCTCCTCAATTTGTACCTGGGGAAAGGTCCCACATATCCATATATATTTATTATCTAAATGTCTCATTACTGAGATATTGTTGTGAATGCAAGTCTATAATGTTAGTGATCTGCAATGGTTAAGTAAAGTATATGTTTATATGATACTTGTTCTTTGTTCATTTTTATCTCACATTTACCTTCTTATCTTTTGCTAGTTTGACCATGAACAAACAGGTGGAAATATCGACAGAAGACACAAGCAATCTGTACGACCAAAGTAGCTTTCTGTACGACCAAAGTAGTAGTGTCATTGGCAAAAATACCACGCCCAATTACCGTATGACAAAATTGATGGCAGTTCAGAAACTGAACACAAGATTTCGGAATGACCACAGTTATGATAGATATATGCAACACATACCCGATTTCTGTATAACAAATATAATGGTAATATAGGAACTAGACTCCAGATTTCGGAGTGATCACATAGAACATGTAACACACCTTATATTGAACAAGGCAATGTATTTCAATCAATCCATAGTCCCTCATTATCTTACTTTACCGAGATGTACACCTATCTCGGGACCAACTTTAGTATAAAAAAAAACTAAAAAAAAAAACTAAAAAGAAACACCTATCGCGATAAATGTATATTTTCAGTGATGGCAGTCCAAGGCTTTTGCTACTCTTAATTCTGTCATCTGTGATAAACCTGGATACCAAATTTGGCTACTTCAGGGGAAATAGTATAGAAGATAAACTTTTGACCAACTTTTTCAATGGCTTCAGTGGTCAATGCATATATCACATTGACCTATTTCACGTAAATTGCACTACCATCGTAAGGTATACCTGTATACCTAATTGGTTAATTCTAGTGAAAAAGTATAGAAGGTATTCTCTGGGCAATTTCTTTCAAAACATAGGTCATAGTGACCTGCTTCTCGTATCCTGCACTCCACGATCCCAAGATGTACTTTCATACTAAATCTCGTTGTTCCAGTTGAAATGAGCCCCGGACTAGCTTTTTCAAAGGTTAAGGTCAAAGGTCAAAGCATATATAGCTCACAGTGACCTACTTCTCTACTCCTTCAATACCAAATTTGGTTACTCAAGATGAAAAAGTATATAACTGATTAAGATACGTCCTGACAATTTTTTTCAAATGTCATAGCATTGATACCATACACTAAATGTTGAGGTAACCGAATTGGCAGCAGACGTCAAATGATTGAAAGAAGGTGTAAAATTTCGAGCCGGCGTAAGTGCCGATAGCAGAAGTCAGATTGAGAACGCCAACATATATGTTAACATACTCCGAATGTGGGGATGGACAAAGATATTGTAACATTATTTAGCAGGAATTAGTTTGAGCTTGAACAACATGGTTAAAGCAGTGGTAGTCGACACTAGCTTCGGGATGATCCAACAATGGTTGCAAACACTAGATTTTGGGACCATCAAGGAACATTACAGGGATACCATTGAAAAACTACAAGAACAATACCGGGAGGATCAGTGTCATCTGATTCCTAGTAATGGCACGTCCTCAAAGTAAGAAGAAGGGTAGTGTCAACAAGTATAATCAAAACCGTCGATATTTATATCACACAAGGAAATAGTTCCTTCTACTTCTTTATGAGATAAATATGGCGACCATACACTAACCCATAGCCTTCATCAACTTGCATCACTCGAAACGCTGTTTGGTGAGCTTGTTTATGTGCATTCTACATCTATAGCGGAAAATCGTGATGATGTGCTGAGCAAGCATGTTAATATCGAAAAACTGTGACATGAAAAAGGAAAGAAAGGGAATTATCATCACGATCGTTAATTCGAAATAGTCATGTTTATCATACAACTCGGCTGTGAACAGTCTCTATTGGTCATAGAAGTAAATATTGAGTTTGCGGCTGAGGTAGATTGTATCCTTCATTTAAAACTTAGGTTGGTAGGTATAAGGGTATTGACTTGGTCAATATATCTGAAAGTGAAATTGAAGGATTTTTGCAAGATCTTTGTTACCTGTCCTGATGAGCCATTCGTTAAATTCAGCTTCACATAAAAAAAATAAAAAATCGCCGCTGAGTGTAAGTCTATAAGACTTGATCTCGATACCGATTTACGTTTGACTATGAGACAGTTTATTGAAATGAGCAGATGCTTGCGACCCACTCAGGTATTATCAGACGATGGCATTATTGATGTGAAAAAATCCCGACGAGACGGACTCTTGACGATCTCCGCCTGGTGTGCGGCAGAGAAACAGGATATTGAGACGGTTCTTTACTTAGTCGAACATTTACACTTGGCTACATAGTCTGACGTACAGAAATGATGGCATTTGCAGTAGAGAAATGCGAATATTGGCACCGCTATGCAGACATTATTTGACAATTGTAAGTTAAACTAAATACGGGCACCTAAAACTGACACTCTCGACGCGGTACTCGTGTAGTCAACATTTCCGAACTAATTATTCTTTCAAAAACGGTGTGTATATTAAAAATTGCATAAATACATGTATATTTGAGTTTTCATTGGTAAGTGTTGGATATATATGTGCCCCAAAACAAACAAGCGTTCATCCACCTGTCATTTAGCAGGGACAACTCGTACTGCCAAACCCGTTGTACCGCCAAAAAATGTCCTTGAACGGAAGGTGGCGGTATATCGGGGTTTTACTGTATATATACTTACTGATACGCACTGTTTTACTGTTTATGTCGCTTATATTTCGCGGAACTTAAATTTTTGTTATTGACAAGCGCCGCAACTTCGTTATCATTCTGAAAGAGATTCATTTAGATTATATACTGTATTATTAACGGTTTGCGCTAATCTTAAATCACGCAAATTACCGCATACAATAATTGAGCTGATCATATATAAAATTTAAATTTGTGTAAAAGAGAACATATTAATTTCACTTTTACATATTTTCAAAAAAATAAGCATTTGATATACATATGCAAGAAAGTAAATAGGTAAAATAAAGAAAGCATTCCCAAATTTCGGGCAGTTTAATACCAATACGTATAGACACATCGAGGTGTACGTATGGAGAACTCGGCTGGGCATGTATTTACAATCCGATGTTATCAAGCGCAATCCTCTACAGAACTCTTAGAGGGGAACGACCGTGACAAAGAGGTCGTACGCATGGAACTGTGATCTCGACTCTAAGAGGGGTTTGGAACAGTCCTGTCAGATATAAATTACCCGCCATGCACTTTACCACCCCGTTCTCAATTTTACCTGTCTAATCAACTTAACGACATGTTTCCACAGTTTCCAACTCTGATATCATTATACAAAATCACATCCAAACAGAATAATTTGTGTAGGTCTGGATTTTAAATCAAAACAGGATTAATACATTGATAAACATATTGATATGAACATTTTTTTCGACGGATTTATCATAGCCATACAAGATATATACGACTAACAAGTGCCCCTGTTCTAAAGCGAAACAAAGGTATTCAACAGTAAGGTTCCGTCATTAAAACGTGGTGGTGAACGTGAACGTGTACGTGGTGTGAAGTAGAAGCTTGACGAAGTTATGTGATTTTCAATTGTGAGATCGGATTACAAAGGTAAGAATTATACTGAATTATTTATCTGTACAGTGGGAAATATATCTAAAACCTATTATCACATAACACCATTCATTCCAATTTTATCAATATTGCATAGAAAGACGTACCGAAATTTACGCTCATAAATTCTTTAAACTATCATAATTGTTACATTCCAACACAATTATTAATTGTAGATTTGATTCATGTTCATTTAATGTTTTGCTGAATACGTTTTGATCAGATAGCACGGCGATAGTGGGACATTAATTAAGTATACCGCGCTAGAGTGTGTTATGGGTAGGTACTACACCGTCTATACCTTTCTAGTCTAATTATAATATCTGCCTTATATTTAATCTTCAAAGTTGCACCATGAATCTCTATTACATACCAATTTTCGGAAATATCGTAAAAAACAAGTATTTATATAAACCACCAATAACATTTCTTTAAATTTCATATGTTTATGCAAAGCCATGGGGAGGTCAATGGTTGGAAGAATATCTCTGATAAATAGTCTTCGATCACACGGGAATCGAACCCGGACGACCGTGTGGAAGACAGTTTCTTTTTTAGACTAATCCACCCATAATATGTTATGAAATATAACAAAGCATAATAGAAAATGTTTTATTTATTTCCAATTACGATACCAGTAACTCCTCAAAAGTGCAAAGAGGAGGCGTATTCAGTCGAATAGGGAACAATATCAGTTATCACGGGTACCGTCTATTTATCTGTCGATCATGTATAGTGTTGCATATTATTGTGTTTTTTCCCTGTCCTGTATTTTAGTGATGGGTTCCGTTGCCAGTTTAATATTCCTGCCTGACTCGGAGTGTTTGGTGGTCAAGGACAAGATTAAGTCTACGGACTCTAACTGGATAACGACCCACGCCATAGCAACAGAACGTACGTGACGATATGGTAATGGTGACGATAGATTATGCCAAGCCGAAATAACATTTTTTTCCAATGCTCCTTGAATAAATGTAAAGTTGGCTTGCCATTATCGATACTGTATCTTACTCGTAATGCAGGAGAGTACCACCTATAACGCTGAGAGGTCTCAGTAGAGAGACGGGTTTCACTGGTAAGATGGACAGGTCTCGCCAAAATGGAAGTTCTAGTCAGTTAACAGGAGAAGTAGCACTGGTAGGTTAGACGTTGTCTTTCCTGTAATTTTGAGAGTCTCGTAAATAGGGTGGAGAGATGAGTTCCGGTAGTAAGACGGAATTGTCTCGTCGGATTGGTTCGGGAGTTCTCGTCAGTTAGGAGATAGCACCGGTAGGGTGGAAGAGTCTCATTTATCAGACAGGTAGAGATGCCTCTCTTTACTTTAAGACACCAACTTTAAGAACAAAATAAACCGTTGTAGAGAAGTCTTGTCAGAAAGGTGACACCTAGTTGTTACATGAAGAGATCTCATCACGGAGACGTATCACCTGTAAATGTTGACATTTCACCGAAACACTCTTCTATGTAAATGTCTTGCCATTGACATTTAAACAGCGTGTTTATAACAGATAATTATATTACAGTGAGTATAGCGGAGACGGAGAGACTGTGGTTCCGGTTCCGCCAGCTCGGCTGTAACAAAGAGGGAATTGTCACAGAATCTACTGTACAAGGCATCAAATATGACGCCTTCGCCAAAGGGGTAAGTACACCCAACAAATATGACGCCTTCTTCAAAGGGGTGAGTACACCCAACAAACAGTATGCCTTCATCAAAGGGAGTGAGTACTCCCCACAAACATGACGGATTCGTCAAAGGGGGTGAGTACACCCCACAAACAGTATGCCTTCGTCAAAGCGGTGAGTACACCCTACAAACAGTATGCCTTCGTCAAAGAGATAAGTACACCCTACAAACAGTATGCCTTCGTCAAAGAGGTGATTACACCCCACAGACAGTATGCCTTCGTCAAAGGGTTGAGTACCCCCTACAAACAGTATGCCTTCGTCAGAGGTTTGAGTACTCCCCACAAACATGAGGCATTCGTCAAAGGGCGTTAGTACACCCCACAGACAGTATGCCTTCGTCAAAGGGTTGAGTACACCCTACAAACAGTATGCCGTCGTCAAAGGGGTGAGTACACCCTACAAACAGTATGCCTTCGTCAAAGGTTTGAGTACTCCCCACAAACATGACGCATTCGTCAAAGGGCGTGAGTACACCCCACAGACAGTATGCCTTCGTCAAAGGGGTGAGTACACCCCACAAACAGTATGCCTTCGTCAAAGAGATGAGTACACCCTACAAACAGTATGCCTTCGTCAAAGAGATGAGTTCATCATACAAACAGTATGCCTTCGTCAAAGGGGTGATTACACCCCACAAACAGTATACCTTCGTCAAAGGGATGAGTACACCCCACAATCAGTATGCCTTCGTCAAAGGGATGAGTACACCCCACAAACATGACGCCTTCGTCAAAGGGGTGAGTACACCCCACAAACAGTATGCCTTCGTCAAAGGGGTGAGTACACCCCAAAGACAATACGCCTTCGTGAAAGGGGGTGACTACACCCCACAGACAGTATGCCTTCGTCAAAGGGGTGAGTACACCCCAAAGACAGTACGCCTTCGCGAAAGGGGGTGAGTACATCCAACAAACAGTATGCCTTCGTCAAAGGGGTGACTACACCCCAAAGACAGTACGCCTTCGTGAAAGGGGGTGAGTACATCCTACAAACAGTATGCCTTCGTCAAACGGGATGGGTACACCCTACAGGCAGTACGCCTTCGTCAAAGGGGTGAGTACACCCAACAAACAGTATGCCGTCGTCAAAGGGGGTGAGTACACCCCACAGACAGAATGCATTCGCCAAAGGGGGTGAGTACACCCCACAAACAGTATGCCTTCGTCAAAGGGGTTAGTACACCCAACATACAGTATACCTTCGTCAAAGGGGGTGAGTATACCCAACAAATATGACGCCTTCGTCAAAGGGGTGAGTACACCCCACAAATATGACGCCTTCGTGAAAGGGGTGAGTACACCCCAAAAATATGACGCCTTCGTCAAAGGGGGTGAGTACACCCAACAAATATGACGCCTTCGTCAAAGGGGTGAGTACACCCTACAAACAGTATGACTTCGTCAAAGGGGTGAGTACACCCCACAAACAGTATGCCTTCGTCAAAGGGGTTAGTACACCCAACATACAGTATACCTTCGTCAAAGGGGGTGAGTATACCCAACAAATATGACGCCTTCGTCAAAGGGGTGAGTACACCCCACAAATATGACGCCTTCGTGAAAGGGGTGAGTACACCCCAAAAATATGACGCCTTCGTCAAAGGGGGTGAGTACACCCAACAAATATGACGCCTTCGTCAAAGGGGTGAGTACACCCTACAAACAGTATGACTTCGTCAAAGGGGTGAGTACACCCCAAAGACAGTATGCCTTCGTCAAAGGGGTTAGTACACCCAACATACAGTATACCTTCGTCAAAGGGGGTGAGTATACCCAACAAATATGACGCCTTCGTCAAAGGGGTGAGTACACCCCACAAATATGACGCCTTCGTGAAAGGGGTGAGTACACCCCAAAAATATGACGCCTTCGTCAAAGGGGGTGAGTACACCCAACAAATATGACGCCTTCGTCAAAGGGGTGAGTACACCCTACAAACAGTATGACTTCGTCAAAGGGGTGAGTACACCCCAAAGACAGTATGCCTTCGTCAAAGGGGTTAGTACACCCAACATACAGTATACCTTCGTCAAAGGGGGTGAGTATACCCAACAAATATGACGCCTTCGTCAAAGGGGTGAGTACACCCCACAAATATGACGCCTTCGTGAAAGGGGTGAGTACACCCCACAAATATGACGCCTTCGTGAAAGGGGTGAGTACACCCCAAAAATATGACGCCTTCGTCAAAGGGGGTGAGTACACCCCACAGACAGTATGCCTTCGTCAAAGGGGGTGAGTACACCCAACAAATATGACGCCTTCGTCAAAGAGGTGAGTACACCCCACAAACAGTATGCCTTCGTCAAAGGGGTGAGTACAACCCAAAGACAGTACGCCTTTGTGAAAGGGGGTGACTACACCCCACAGACAGTATGCCTTCCTCAAAGAGGTGAGTACACCCCACAAACAGTATGCCTTCGTCAAAGGGGGTGACTACACCCCACAGACAGTATGCCTTCGTCAAAGGGGTGAGTACATCCAACAAACAGTATGCCTTCGTCAAAGGGGTGAGTACAACCCAAAGACAGTACGCCTTTGTGAAAGGGGGTGACTACACCCCACAGACAGTATGCCTTCCTCAAAGAGGTGAGTACACCCCACAAACAGTATGCCTTCGTCAAAGAAGGTGTGTACACCCCACAAACAGTATGCCTTCGTTAAAGGGGGTGACTACACCCCACAGACAGTATGCCTTCCAAACAGTATGCCTTCGTCAAAGGGGTGAGTACACCCCAAAGACAGTACGCCTTTGTGAAAGGGGGTGACTACACCCCACAGACAGTATGCCTTCGTCAAAGAGGTGAGTACAACCCACAAACAGTATGCCTTCGTCAAAGGGGGTGACTACACCCCACAGACAGTATGCCTTCGTGAAAGGGGGTGACTACACCCTACAAACAGTATGCCTTCGACAAAGGAGTGATTACACCCCACATATATGACGCCTTCGTCAAAGGGGTGAGTACATCCTACCAATATGACGCCTTCGTCAAAGGGGTGAGAACCCCAACAAATTTGACGCCTTCGTCAAAGGGGTGAGTACACCCAAAAAACAGAATGCCTTCGTCAAAGGGGGTAAGTAAGCCCCACAAACAGTATGCCTTCGTCAAAGGGGTGAGTACATCCCACAAATATGACGCCTTTGGCAAAGGGGGTGAGTACACCCAACAAATATGACGCCTTTGTCAAAGGGATGAGTACAGCCCACAGACAGTATGCCTTCGCCAAACGGGGTGAGTACACCCCAGAAACAGTATGCCTTCGTCAAAGGGGGTGAGTACACCCCACATACAGTATGCCCTCGTCAAAGGGGTAGAGTACACCCCACATACAGTATGCCCTCGTCAAAGGGATAGAGTACACCCCACATACAGTATGCCTTCGTCAAAGGGGGTGAGTACGCCCAACAAATATGACGCCTTCGACGATGGGGTGAGTACACCCCACAGACAGTATGCATTCGTCAAAGGGGGCGAGTACCCCCCACATACAGTATGCCTTCGTCAAAGGGGGTGAGTACACCCCACAGACAGTACGCCTTCGTCAAAGGGGTGAGTACACCCAACAAACAGTATGTCTTCGGCAAAGGGGGTGAGTACACCCCAAAAACAGTATGCCTTCGTCAAAGGGGGTGATTACATCCAACAAACAGTATGCCTTCGACAAAGGAGTGAGTACACCCAACAAATATGACGCCTTCGTCAAAAGGGTGAGTACACCCCACAGACAGTACGCCTTCGTCAAAAGGGGGTGAGTACACCCAACAGACAGTATACCTTCGTCAAAGGGGGTGAGTACACCCCACAAACAGTATGCCTTTGACAAAGGAGTGAGTACACCCCACATATATGACGCCTTCGTGAAGGGGGTGAGTACACCCCACAGACAGAACGCCTTCGTCAAAGGGATGAGTACACCCTACAAACAGTTTGCCTTCGTCAAAGGCGTGAGTACACCCCACAGACAGAACGCCTTCGTCAAAAGGGTGAGTACACCCCAAGTATGCCTTTGTCAAACGGATGAGTACACCCCACATACAGTATGCCTTCGTCGAAGGGGTGATTACACCACACAAAAATGATGCATAGGGGGTGAGTACACCACACAAATATGACGCCTTCGGCAAAGGGGTGAGGACACCCTACAAACAGTTTGCCTTCGTCAAAGGGCGTTCAAAAGGGGGTGAGTACACCCTACAAACATTTTGCCTTCGTCAAAGGGGTGAGTACACCCTACAAACAGTATGCCTTCGTCAAAGGGGGTGAGTACACCCAACAAATATAACGCCTTCGTCAAAGAGGTGAGTACACCCCAAATACAGTACGCCTTCGTGAAAGGGGGTGACTACACCCCACAAACAGTATGCCTTCGTCAAAGGGGTGATTACACCCTACAAACAGTATGCCTTCGACAAAGGAGTGAGTACACCCCACATATATGACGCCTTCGTCAAAGGGGTGAGTACATCCTACAAATATGACGCCTTCGTCAAATGGGTGAGAACCCAAACAAATATGACGCCTTCGTCAAAGGGGTGAGTACACCCAACAAACAGTATGCCTTCGTCAAAGGGGGTGAGTACACCCCACAGACAGTATGCCTTCGTCAAAAGGGTGAGTACACCCCACAAACAGAGGCCTTCTTCAAAGGGGGTGAGTAAGCCCCACAAACAGTATCCCTTCGTCAAAGGGGTGAGTACATCCCACAAATATGACGCCTTCGTCAAAGGGGGTGGGTACACCCAACAAATATGACGCCTTCGTCGATGGGGTGAGTACACCCCACAAACAGTATGCCTTCGTCAAAGGGGGCGAGTACACCCCACATACAGTATGCCTTCGTCAAAGGGGGTGAGTACACCCCACAGACAGTATGCCTTCGTCAAAGGGGTGAGTACGCCCCACAAACAGTATGCCTTCGTCAAAGGGGGTGAGTGCACCCCACAGACAGTTACCTTCGTCCAAGGGGGTGAGTACACCCTACAAACAGTTTCCCTTCGCCAAAGGGGTGAGTACCCCCTACAAACAGTATGCCTTCGACAAAAGGGTGATTACACCCCACAAACAGGATGCCTTCGTCAAAGGGGGTGAGTGCGCCCCACAGACAGTTACCTTCGTCCAAGGGGGTGGGAAAACCCTAAAAACAGCATGCCTTCGTCAAAGGGGGTGACTACACCCCACAGACAGTATGCCTTCGTCAAGGGGGTGAGTACACCCTACAAACAGTTTGCCTTCGTCAAAGGGGAGAGTACACCCTACAAACAGTATGCATTCGTCAAAGGGGTGAGTACACCCAACAAACAGTATGCCTTCGTCAAAGGGGGTGAGTACACCCCACAAACAGTATGCCTTCGTCAAAGGGCATGAGTACACCCTACCAACAGTTTGCCTTCGTCAAAGGGGTGAGTACACCCTACAAACAGTATGCCTTCGTCAAAGGGAGTGAGTACACCCCAAAGACAGTATGCCTTCGTCAAAGGGGTGATTACACCCCACAAACAGTATGCCTTCGTCAAAGGGGGTGAGTACACCCCACAAACAGTATGCCTTCGTCAAAGGGGGCGAGTACACCCCACAAATAGTATTCCTTCGTCAAAGGGGGTGAGTACACCCCACAAACAGTATGCCTTCGTCAAAGGGCGTGAGTACATCCTACAAACAGTTTGCCTTCGTCAAAGGGGTGAGTACACCCTACAAACAGTATGCCTTCGTGAAAGGGGTGAGTACACCCCACAAACAGCATGCCTTCGTCAAAGGGGTGATTACACCACACAAAAATGATGCATTCGTCGAAGGGGTGAGTACACCCCACAAATATGACGCCTTCTTCAAAGGGGGCGAGTACACCCAACATCTATGACGCCATCTTCAAAGTGTATTGTTCAAGGGAGAGGTGAGTAAACTCATGAGTAAAGAATGAGGTTGTTTTATCAAACAAGACGCCTTCACAAACCGGTGAGTATATCCCTTTACAAACGATGTTTTTGTCAAGGGACGAGTGAAATGGGGCACGACACATTTCTCAATGGATGGACAGTTTTTGTATCTCGGCGTAATTTTAAAACGGTAAAAAGTGTATATTATATTTTCCTTTATTGAAGTAAATTATTTCATTGATGAAAACATTGATGGCCACAGTTACATCTTTTGAGTAGTAGCACGGTTCATAACATACACACTTTACAGATAATATAATATACACACTTTACAGATAATATAATATACACACTTTACAGATGATATAATATACACACTTTACAGATGATATAATATACACACTTTACAGATGATATAATAAACACACTTTACAAATGATATAATATACACACTTTACAGATGATATAATATACACACTTTACAGATGATATAATATACACACTTTACAGATGATATAATATACACACTTTACAGATGATATAATATACACACTTTACAGATGATATAATATACACACTTTACAGATGATATAATATACACACTTTACAGATGATATAATATACACACTTTACAGATGATATAATATACACACTTTACAGATGATATAATATACACACTTTACAGATGATATAATATACACACTTTACAGATGATATAATATACACACTTTACAGATGATATAATATACACACTTTACAGATGATATAATATACACACTTTACAGATGATATAATATACACACTTTACAGATGATATAATATACACACTTTACAGATGATATAACATACACACTTTACAGATGATATAACATACACACTTTACAGATGATATAATATACACATTTTACAGATGATATAATATACACACTTTACAGATGATATAACATACACACTTTACAGATGATATAACATACACACTTTGCAGATGATATAAGATGATATAATATACACACTTTACAGATGATATAATATACACACTTTACAGATGATTTAATTTGAAATGAATAGTACTCCTCTACATTTTTAAATTAATAAATTAAGGGGTTTTACGCACATGCCCCTCTGTTTCAACAGTAGCTTAGACAATTTTGATTGTTTATTTGTCTGGCCCCTAGCATCACCGTTGAGTCCTAGAATGAAAAAAAATATATATTGCATTGCAATTCATAGTTGGCATTTGTTATGAATTACCAAATTTAAAAAAAAATGTGTGCGTCTGTTGCATGCATTTTTTAATATGACCAATAATTAGTTATGAGGCTGTTCAGACAATACCTTATTGATAATTAAATGTTTAAGACAGGCTAGTCACAATAATAGTACTGTTGAAATATCATAACAAAGACTTGAAAACGTATTTGAACTTTTTAAAAATCTAGAACTTTTTTTTTAGATATTGAAGATGTTCCTGTCTAGTAAAAAGAAGTTGACATTTGAGAATTTCCTTCGAGGGATGAAGTGGTGTGAGGCTGGAGACACGGACACCAAGCTGCGAGGTTCGTACTTCTGTGTGCAAGGCAGAAGAGTATGTTGTATACTGAGTAATAGAACCAAAGAAACCAAACTCTGAGGTTTGCATTTCGGTGTGGGAGGCACGAGAGTTATTGTAATTGTTGTATGAAGGACATTTCTGTGTGGGAGGCACGAGGGGTATAGTAATTGTTGTATGAAGGACATTTCTGTGTGGGAGGCACGCGGGTTATAGTAATTGTTGTATGAAGGACATTTCTGTGTGGGAGGCACGAGTTATAGTAATTATTGTATGAAGGACATTTCTGTGTGGGAGGCACGAAAGTTATAGTAATTGTTGTATGAAAGATATTTCTGTGTGGGAGGCACGAGGGTTATAGTAATTGTTGTATGAAGGACATTTCTGTGTGGGAGGCACGAGTTATAGTAATTTTTGTATGTAGTTGGAATTTTTTATTTGTGCATATACCAGTCCTGCAGAATGACGAAATGTCGATATCGTATATAAACGTTTTTAAATGGCCATTTTTTATTTTATTCAGATTAATATTGAAGTAAGCACGATTAATATTAAGTGGGACATTCTGAGAGTTTTTTATGGTTGTTTTATCTGCTTCAGCTATTTTCAACCTGCTAGGAAGTGCAAAGAATGTGACACGGGCAAACTTTATAAAGGTCTTGGAAATAGTATATCACAACCCAGAAGATAAAAAGGTAAGCGTATTTTTGGCCATATCAAGAGCTTACAGGCGACATGTTGTACATATTTATCTTCTTTTTATAACGGACAGAGATGCGCCGATTTCTCATCACAACCCTTGAACTATGGCCATAGTTTTTTTCTTATGCAAGATATCAGACGACAATAAAACCGAACAAAAATTGACATCACTTTAACGTCAAACGTACTATTTCGCATTTGAAACATTTGTAAAAGTACAGATTTTTTTTATTAGATATTATCTCGAATTTTGAAGGAATTCTAGTTAATGGACATTTCCTTATTGCATGTTTGTAAGAATGTCAGTCTTTTGCAAGGCCATACCTGGAATTGCGGACGTCGTGTTTAACCAAATGGACTCGGACAAAAATGGTGAGTTCAACAGTCAACGTTCGTATTATTCTTCGTTGGTAACTCGTATAATACTGAATATTGTAAATACTAGGTTATTGTCCTGACAGACGAGGCTCTTCCATATTACAGACTGAATGGGCGTTGCGTTATGTTTTGCTACATTTAATATTGCATTCAGTTATCGAAGTGTTACACATGTTGGTTATTAAAAATGATTAAAAAAATCTCTACAGCATCTGAAGAAAGCTTCTATATTCATTTAAAATTCATTTAAAATTTCAACTAAAATTTACACAGGAAACTTTAGCGAGAAGGAGTTTGTCGACGGAATTAAAAGAGCCATATCTGAAGAAATACTTCAGCAAGTTCTTCAGTTCGAAGTGTTGCCAAATTACATGAGGGAACGTCTCTACGAAGACTTACCCGAGGTTGGTATTGCAAATAATGCTCACCCTCAACCACTTTTTCTCTAAGATTAGCATCCATTTGCATCCCATTTTATCCCCTTCAATTTAGACTAACTATCCCCTTAGACTAAAACTTTCTCATCCTTTTCCACTGAAACTCCATACTGGAAATCATTTCCCAATTTCCATACTAAAATGGACAAACTGTTTTCTATGTATTTTTCTTACAAGATATTGCGTTGTACAGTTCCAGATGGACGTGGCGCTGGCCAGTGGAGAAACTAGCGCGGCACCGACCCCCTCACCGAGCACCTTTATCGGCGGGTTTTCGACGGCACGAGCCAGCCCGTCCGACCGTACCATCAAGCACCTGACAGATAAGATCTATACCAAGGATCTGGAACGCCTTTGCAATAAGCTTGGCCTCACCAAGGAGGACTATGACGAATTGAAGGGGAAATCTCGGGATAATAAGCATCTGGTTAGTTTTAAATACAAATTAACAAAATTTAAACGGATTGATTGAACAAAGAGAACGGTAAAATTCCCTTTCAAGTAGCCAGGATTTTGTCCCGGAAAGGGCTTTGTAACATAAGCATGGGTGGACTTTATCTGCTGTGACATAATACCCAAGATGCTATACAGCAGTCCTGATTAACGGCATAGTTTGGTATGTAAGGGGACATCCTGAACGACACAGGATTTATGTGGGTTCCTGGTGTGTTTTCTTTTGATTTATAGGGGCTTCTGGTTCTTTTTTATGGCGCATTGGTATAACCAGAGATGTATATATACTACTGGCTTTATATGTCTCTGGTATAACCATTATGTCGACAGCAATAACTAGCAGAATACTTCTTTAGTTACGATTTCAACTGTGTTTCATTATCCGATTGCGTCATACTGCATTTTCAATTACGTCATTTGGTAGACATTTCCAAAGATCTACGACTCTACGACAAAGAGTTTCACTGGCTACTTTAATCCTTCTTGGTTCCTATCTAGATGATATCGCTTAGTACTGAAATAAGTTAATTTGTTAAACAAGTTGTGCCTGTCTAGCTTGTCAATTCCTTTCCGGATTCATTCGAACCTGTCATTCCTTAAATTTGAACACAGTAGTGCTCGTAATCCTGACTTGAGTCTCTCAGGATAGGACGGTACCCAGTTGTATCAGCATAGGACGGTACCAAGTTGTGTATAGGACGGTACCAAGGTGTATCAGCATAGGACGGTGCCAAGTTGTATCAGCATAGGACGGTACCCAGTTGTATCAGCATAGAACGGTACCCAGTTGTATCAGGATAGGACGGTACCCAGTTGTATCAGCATAGGACGGTGCCAAGTTGTATCGGCATAGGACGGTACCAAGTTGTATCAGCATAGGACGGTACCAAGTTGTATTAGCATAGGACGGTACCCAGTTGTATCAGCATAGGACGGTACCAAGTTGTATCAGCATAGGACGGTACCAAGTTGTATCAGCATAGGACGGTACAAAGTTGTATCAGCATAGGACGGTTCCCAGTTGTATCAGCATAGGACGGTACCAAGTTGTATCAACATAGGACGGTACCAAGTTGTATCAGCATAGGACGGTACCAAGTTGTATCAGGATAGGACGGTACCCATTTGTATCAGCATAGAACGGTACCCAGTTGTATCAGGATAGGACAGTACCAGGTTGTATCAGGATAGGATGGTCCCCAGTTGTATCAGCATAGGACGGTACCCAGTTGTATCAGCATAGGACGGTACCCCGTTGTATCAGCATAGGACGGTACCCAGTTGTATCAGCATAGAACGGTACCCAGTTGTATCAGCATAGGACAGTACCCAGTTGTATCAGCATAGGACGATACCAAGTTGTATCAGCATAGGACGGTACCAATTTGTATCAGCATAGAAGGGTACCCAGTTGTATCAGGATAGGACAGTACCATCTTATCGGACGGTACCCAGTTGTATCAGCATAGGACAGTACCCAGTTGTATCAGCATAGGACGATACCAAGTTGTATCAGCATAGGACGGTACCAATTTGTATCAGCATAGAAGGGTACCCAGTTGTATCAGGATAGGACAGTACCAGGTTGTATCAGGATAGGATGGTACCCAGTTGTATCAGGATAGGACAGTACCAGGTTGTATCAGGATAGGATGGTACCCAGTTGTATCAGTATAGGACGGTACCCAGTTGTATCAGCATAGGACGGTACCAAGTTCCATCAGGATAGGACGGTACCAAGTTGTATCAGGATAGGATGGTACCAATTGAGATGTATCAGGATAGGATGGTACCAAGTTGTATCAGGATAGGATGGTATCAATTAAGTTGTATCAGGATAGGACGGTATCCAGTTGTATCAGCATAAGACGGTACACATTTGTATAATGATATGAAGATACCCATTTGTATCAGGATATGACGATACCCAGTTGTATCGGGATAGAACAGTACCCATTTGTTTCACCATAAGACGGTTCCCATTTGTGTCAGGATAGGATGGTACCTATTTGTATCAGGATAGAACGGTATCCAGTTGTGTCAGGATAAGATGGTACCCATTTGTATCAGTATAGAACGGTACCCGGTTGTGTCAGGATAGGATGGTACCCATTAGTATCAGGATAGAACGGGACCCAGTTGTGTCGGGATAGAACGGTACCCAGTTGTATCAGTATAGAACGGTACACAGTTGTGTCAGGATAGGATGGTACCCATTTGTATCAGGATAGGACAGTACCCATTTGTGTCAGGATAGGACGGTATCCAGTTGTATCAGCATAAGACGGTACACATTTGTATAATGATACGAAGATACCCATTTGTATCAGGATATGACGATACCCAGTTGTATCGGGATAGGACAGTACCCATTTGTGTCAGGATAGGATGGTCCCCATTAGTATCAGGATAGAACGGTACCCAGTTGTGTCAGGATAGAACGGTACCCAGTTGTATCAGTATAGAACGGTACCCAGTTGTGTCAGGATAGGATGGTACCCATTAGTATCAGGATAGAACGATACCCAGTTGTGTCAGGAAAGGATGGTACCCATTTGTATCAGGATAGAACGGTACCCAGTTGTGTCAGGATAGAACAATACCCAGTTGTATCAGTATAGAACGGTACCCAGTTGTGTCAGGATAGGATGGTACCCATTTGTATCAGGATAGAACGGTACCCAGTTGTGTCAGGATATGACGATACCACGTTGTGTCAGGATAGGATGGTACCCATTTGTATCAGGATAGAACGGTTCCCAGTTATGTCAGTATAGAACGGTTTCTATTTGTATCAGGATAGAATGGTACCCAGTTGTGTCAGGATAGGATGGTACCCATTAGTATCAGGAAATGACGATACCCAGTTGAGTCAGGATAGGATGGTACCCATTTGTATCAGGATAGAACGGTACCAAGTTGTGTCAGGATAGGATGGTACCCATTAGTATCAGGATATGACGGTACCCAGTTGTGTCAGGATAGAACAGTACCCATTTGTATCAGGATAGAACGGTACCCAGTTGTGTCGGGATAGGATGGTACCCAGTTGTGTCAGGATAGAACAGTACCCAGTTGTGTCAGGATAGAACAGGACCCAGTTGTGTCAGGATAGAACAGTACCCACTTATGACTTTTCAAGGTCTCGCCCAGTTGTGTCAGGAGAGAACAGTACCCATTTGTATCGGGATAGAACAGTACCCATTTGTATCAGGATAGAACAGTACCCATTTGTATCAGGATAGGACAGTGTTAAGTTGTACCAATGTTTATCATCTTCATGAAAGTAATGTTAGTTTGTATCAGATTTTCGAGAAGACATGCAAAGTTATAGTCATTAAGATCAATCCATTGTAACATCAATGACTTTCCTTTCAATTGTATTTTCAGGCAACATTGATCTTAATGAAGTATAGAGAAAAGTCCGGAGGTCAGACTAACAGCAAAGAGTTGGAGAAGGCGCTTCGAGATGCAGGAATGATTGAAGCATCCCAACTACTAGCACCATGAGGACAACTAAGTTGATATCCATATTAATTCAACGCCACTTTAAAATGACTAAGTCATATTGAGGCGCAACAAATATTGCCAATAAGTCGATACATCAGCATAAGTACTATTGAGGATAAAATGCAGTATGAGGTGCCGCAACTATTGTCAGCATAATTTACCACTATATAAGAAATCCCAACCACAACAGGACCTGCATGCACTGCCCTATTAAAGTAACTACTATAAACATGATGACAGCTTGACTGATCGCACTATGGAGGTCATTGTGATGGATTTTCATTGTGCAGAGTTAGCACTTCATTGTGAATATTCTTTAAGCCACTGCACTGATAATAGGGGCATGAGAAAACAAAGTAAACTTATGACTTTTCAAGGTCTCGTTGTCACTTATTTGCGAAAATGAAATGGCTTTGATTCATTGAAGGTCACGGGTCAAGTTTCGCACTCAAACATATTTTCTGAAGAACCATGGCCTAGAGCTAATTTCAGAATATTTTATTAAATCGAAAAGATTTAAAGGGAATTTGGCAGCAGGTTTGGTTTAGATACTTATTAATACAATTTGGTAATATTATTGTATGGTTCTAATATGTATTTAGGCACAAAAAAAGAAAGAATTGTTGACATTATTAATCCAATATATAACAAGGTCACAGTGACCTACTTATCAACAATGTGCTGTTCTTTTTCGATAATTTTTAATATTTGAAGCTTAAGTGTTATGCAATACACCAAAATGATGAAGAAACTTTTAAAAAATAACATGTAGTTTTGCCAAAAAGCGCCCATTTGTGATTTTGATCCCACACTTTACCCCCCTGATATCTCAGAATGGTCTCCAAGCTGATCTTCATTTCATGCCATATTATGAAGGCATAACCCCAAGGTATGAATATACAAAAAATAAAACTTATAGGTGATAGCCACCAGAAAGCCCAAATTGGGCACCCCTCCTTTGTTAAACCACTTTAACTACATCTGAAAATCGACAAGGCCTAGAGTCGTTACACTTGGTCAGTACTTCGCATGCTATGAATTTTATTGAAACTGCACCTGGAGAATGGCAAGGGCTTGAAGTCATCATATCTGGCCAGTAGCTTGCTGAAGACTTAAAGAATGTCAACATTGGATGGACAACAGATTCTGCACCAACGCTTAATTTGATTACAGGCATTTGTGAAGTTCAGTGCAGCCATTTGCTCAGATTGCCTGCATTTGACTTTGTGATGTATTTATAGTAAATAAATTGGTAGAGGAAAAACACCTAATCACTTTGGTGTAGTTATTTGCAATATGCCAGCACTCACTTGACCTGGGCTTTTTTGAGGCCCCAAAATGATATTTGACTATTTCACATTTTTTGACTCTACAAAATTAATGGAATTAAGACATTTTGCACCAAATAAACATAGCTGTTCAGAACACCTGCAAATGACTTGGTTATTTAACATGTTTAAAGTTGATTATAACAAAGTAGAAAAAATAACAATCACTTCTGTGTAGATATTTGAAATATGCTAGCACTGTCTCAACAAAGGTTACAAACGCATGATCTCTAAAACATCAGATACTTCCAGTTTTTGTTACTTTATAAAGGACGTGAACTTTCTTTTAAAATTCTCTCAAACAATGTTAAAACTAGAAGCACAGGTACTAACCTCGTCTGTCAATACACCCATAATATAAACTATTGGGTGTATTGACGGACAAGGCTTGTACCTGTGCTAGAAGTGTATGCCATTGGCATTAAATAATTCAATTCCACTCAAAAATTAAGAAATGAGGTACAATACCAATAAAATGTCTGAAACACAAAATATCTTGCCATTGAAAAAAATCCTAATGTACAAATCAGTCAAGTTGGCAGGAAGGAGTACGCACACGGGGCAAGATTACGTTTAAGGACAGACAGACAACCTGTAAACCCCCACCCCTCTTTGATCAGCAATCACTGCTAACATCATTATTCATTGCTTGAAGATATCTGGAACCAGAGGTTATGCTGGAAAAAATTAGCTGTAAATAACATATTCTTTAGATTTTCTTAGCTTTGACTTTGATTGTAAAAAATCAATTTATTCCAAATTTATTACTCCCAAGTAGATGTGTCAGGATATCCAGGTCTATATACACTGAAGATGCAGGAGGAAGGTCCTTCTAAGGACTGAGACCCAAGTCTGTACAAGCTGACATTCTTTATTGATCAAACAGTTCATACAGAGAGACTTCATTCATGAAAACTTGAATGAGGAAAATGCTTTATTGTCATCACAGCGCTTCAGTAGGTCCTGCTTCTTTCTTACACTTTTACCCTAAAACACACAAACAAAACCAATCAGGATTTCAACAAGTACAGAAACTAAATGGTTACTGTCAGCACTATGACAAAAATAAACACACAAAAAAGTAAAAGAATGTCCTTACATGAAGCATAAATGTGACCAATCACATATAAAATGATATGTCACTTAATTATGTAATGCCTTATATATATTGTCCATAAGGATTGAAGTGCAATATTTGCTTATTTGTTATAAAAAAGCATTTGTCTAGACAGCTGTACAGCTAAATATCAGTTTGTCTGGTATGAATATCAGGGTTTCTATCAAGCTTTCTATCATATAAATTAATAAACATACACCAACAACCAAAATGCTGTCAGACAAAATGATGTGAAATTAAGATATGTCAAACAAAAAAACCCAATTGGTTTGATCCTACTGTGAGTATCATTTATGAATAACAGTAGTTCTTGCCTCATTGTTGCTCGCATCTATCAACTCTCTGGCAAGCATATCTGTGAATCTTGTTTCCCTTTCCTTCTCCATAGCACTTTTTACAAGGAACCTCATGGCTTTAGCTGTTTGTGTGCTAGGATTACAAGCAATGGGAACCTGAAAACAACGATCATACGATAAATATCAGCAATAATGATCTCACAGATACCTGCATATACACAGCACAAGAATGTATCAGCTACCAACAAGGCAAGTGATATGTTATACACCACACTTCCTAAGTACACCTAACCTAACATACACAGTAGAAAGGATGTATAAAATACACCACACTTACATAGGATGTACCTACGCATACAGATGTGACATACACTTCACAGCACAGAAACAAGGATGTGTCATACACTGCATATACACAGCACAAGGATGTGTCGCATACCACACATACACATCACAATGATGTGTCTCATACCAAATCTACACAGCACAATGATGTGTCTCATACCAAATCTACACATTACAAGGATGTGTAATATACCAAATCTACACAGCACAATGTGTCTCAATCTACACATTACAATGATGTGTCTCATACGAAATCTACACATTACAATGTGACTCATACCAAATCTACACATTACAAGGATGTGTAATATACCAAATCTACATATTACAAGGATGTGTCTCATACCAAATCTATACATTACAAGGATGTGTCTCATACCATATCTACACATTACAATGATGTGTCTCATACCAAATCTACATATTACAATGATGTGTCTCATACCAAATCTACACATTAAAATGATGTGTCTCATACCAAATCTACACAGCACAATGATGTGTCTCATACCACACATACACAGCACAATGATGTGTCTCATACCAAATCTACACATTCCAATGATGTGTCTCATACCAAATCTACACATTACAAGGATGTGTCTCATACCAAATCTACACATTACAAGGATGTGTCTCATACCATATCTACACATTACAATGATGTGTCTCATACCAAATCTACACATTACAAGGATGTGTCTCATACCAAACATACACATTACAAGGATGTGTAATGTACCAAATCTACACAGCACAATGATGTGTCTCATACCACACATACACAGCACAATGATGTGTCTCATACCAAATCTACACATTATAAGGATGTGTTGCACACCACACCTACACTGTGTGTCACACACACCATTTCATAAAAAAAACATTTAACACTAGATCAACATGAGATTTGAACCTCATTCAAACTTCAGAAGAATACATCCTAAACATTAATTTACCTCATACATGACCCCGCCTCGCAGGACTCTAGTTGTATGAACATTGGGGCGACAGTTTTCCAGAGCTTCAAGGAACACATTGATAGGATTAAGTTCTATTTCATCTCTTTCATCTTCTTTTGCCTTGTGATACTTCTCTAACTGTAAAATCTTCACCTTCATAAAAGTCTATAAAAAAAGGAAAGAAACAAAACCTTGCTTTATACATGATGTATTATATGTACCGTATATATTAACAATATGATAAGATGATAACAAAAAACAGTTATGTCCAAGGTACTTCTTGGGGTATATATTATTTCATACATATTATATAACACATACATATTATATAGGACAAAATATTGGTTGTTTAAGATACAAGTTAGCCTACATTGATTTTGAAATTCTGCCCTTAAAATTAATTTCTATGCTCGGATTTTGTTGTTGTTTACTATCCAATATTGTCTAAAACATATCAACATTAAATATTTACATCTCAAAGACCTTAATACATTTTGAGTATAGAGCAGTTAGGTCTTGACCTCTATTGTACAATAATAAATATGTGTTGGAATTTTCAGTAAATGTTGGTAATTGTGGGATTATGTTGGCAGATAAAATGAACTATATACACATTCTTGTGTCCAACATCTTGAACTGTCACTCATTAGGAGACAATGTTAAAGGATTTTCCTTTGACAGTCTGACTCAATATTAAATACATATATGAATGTGATGGTGGTCTCTACCGATCAATTACGGATTCTCATGGAGTAAAATCAGTGATTGCCTTGATGAAGGTTTAGAAGTGATGTAATGTAGTAGGACGAGAATAGTGATAAAGATAGTGCCGTCGCTGGGGCTGGAACCCTCGACTCTCCAGCCCGATGCTTTACCACTGAGCTAAAGGGAAATTCCCTACAGCTGACGCTTGTAAGGCAACTTAATCAATGCACATCTGTTACAGTAATATGCAATGGGTTTTCATTTATACAGCTGGTATACAGTAATATCTTCATTAAACTTGACTAATCCCACAGCTTTAATTATGATAATCTGAATTACCTCTTCTACAGATTCCCTTGCCAACTTCTTCTTTCCTTTTTTCATCACAATGTTGATAAATTTCCTATGAAAAAAACCCATAGGTATGAAAACAAAACAAAAAACGTAGGTATGAAAACAAAAAAAAACATAGGTAATAAACTGGACATCTATCTCACAATCACTTTTTTTGAGAATACAATTATTATTACAAGAATGTCTACAAGAATGTAACTTTAAAATAACTTATTTTCTGTAGATACAAAAAAGGTGACTTTTTTTGGTCATCCATATATATACAGAAATTCCCCAACACTTTTTTCCACTGATGTTATACTCAATTCAAGAAAGTTGCTCATTATACTTATGAAGTGATCCATACGAAAGCCTATTGAACTCATTTTCGTAAGAGAAAAAACTTTTTATTATTGCGAAATAACTTTCGTGAAACTATCGCGTGATAACGTGAACCTTTCGCGAAATAACACGAACGATACTATATAAACAAGTTGCTAATGCAACTTTTTAAAACAATAGAAATTAAATTACAACAAGAGGCCCAGAGGGCCTGTATCGCTCACCTGGATATGTTAAAAGAACTTGGTATGAGGTAAAGATATAGCACTCCATGGTAGCCTTTGGTAGGTACTGTATGTCTATATGAAATTTCAGAAAGATCCATCCAGTATTTCTGGAGATATAGCAGCGAGAACAAACTTCAAATGTCAAAATCCAAGATGGCGGACAGGTGGCTATCTTGTTTTAATGAATACAACCTTATAGTAACAGGCACTAATAGACAAATTGATGGAGACAAAATTAGGATAAAATCTCGTAATCCCTACGGTAGAAGAAGGATTTCAACCGTTTTACCTCTATTTCTGCTATTGGGCCCCTCTTCTCTGCCCCTAGGGGGTGGGGGGGGGGGGCACACCCACTGTTTATACAAAATTGAGTGCCCTTGGCCTAAGTATGTTCCAGACTAAATAAGGATGAAATCCCTTAATCCTTACAGAAGAAGAAGGATTTTAAATGTGTTACCTCTATTTCCCCTATTGGCCCTGCTTCTCTGCCCCTAGGGGAGGCCGCACCCACCGTTTATGCAAAATTGAGTTCCCTTGGCCTTAGGATGCTCCAGACCTAATTGGGATGAAATCCCTCAATACCTATGCTAGAAGAAGGATTTTATAGGTTTACCTCTATTTCCCCCATTGGGCCCTGCTTATCTGCCCCTAAGGGGGTCACACCCACCGTTTATACAAAATTGAGTCCCCCTGGACCAAGGATGCTCCAGACTATATAAGGATAAAATCCCTTAATCCCGATGGTAGAAACAGTATTTTAATGGTTTGACCTCTATTTCCCCTATTGGGCTCTGTCCTCTGTCCCCAGTGGGGCACACCCACTTAATTGAGTCCCCTTGGCCCAAGGATGCTCCAGAACAAATTTAGTTAAAATCCACAAATTTAAAGCCGTTCTGGACTAGTAGCATTTTAAAGGAAAAAGTTGATGGACAGAACATTAGTTAGGTTTTATTTTGAACTTGGCCTATCCCAAGCTGAATCTTGATTTTTTTTGCAATAGCAGATAAAATCATCATAAGTAAGACGACATTAAAGAGAATATTGAAACCATTACATTTAACGAGAAGGAAACATTATTCTGATGTATGTGATAGGGATTGCAGGGAGTATGCATTCTTAATGAACTGCAGAATTCTGGACAACTTCATGGTTATAGATGGATGCATAACAAACGCGTACAGGGCTGGTGTTACTGTTCCCCGCAACACAATGTATCATCTAGTAAAAGTTCAAGATCCGGATGCATCATGGGCTTTTAAGGCGGAAACGGAAACAACTACATAGACAGCAATATGTTAGTAATGCTCCTGATTACGTATGGCATGTTGATTCATACGACACGCTGAAACCATATGGCATAGCCATCAATGGGTGTATTGATGGATATTCTAGGAAATGGTCTGGGTCAGGTACTTGTGTCTGACTACGGCATGGTATTCCAGTGTGCTGGCACTATAAAGTCGGCCCGAGTTAGTTCCAGTACAAGTAGTCCAGAAACACTCACCACATACAAACACGTATCATTCACCAATGATACCGTCTGCATATGACCTTAGATGTTACGTGGACGTTATTCAACAACAACACCTTGGCATAGATCAACAATATTTTCGAATATTTTTAGTACATGTATAGTGTAATTGAAAGCACGACCGACGCTTGGCTGGATTCAATACATTATTGGAAAATGTTCGTTCTTTGGGATCAGTTTCAATCAATTGCTCAAATGACGGTGACTTTCAAAGCGCTGTCCTGTCATTGGCCTTCACATGATGTTAGACAGACATATTTACAGCGTATTACAAGATAATCGCCTTATTAAAGCACTGACATTGATTCCAAAAACATTAATATTCGGATTGAATGTTCTTTTTTCATGGCATGTGTATGTAAGCCACTGCACTTCATAGAATCAGGGGGAAAAAACATTCAATCCCTATGATGCGACCCAAAATCTACTATCATACACATGTCACTGCTTTTCTGTTTTACAGAGACTTGGCTAAGTTAGTGGAAAACACACACCAATATATCCAGTGGATTAGATATGCGTGGTAGACCAATTATTATGTACACACTACCAGAACTTTATAACAAGCAACACTGCCTTTGTTACGTAGATGAAAATGAAATACTGGGTTGATGTTTGTGCTGAAAAAACTATACCCCTAGTCAAAATTTTCATGCGATACCATGCAAAGGTAAAACCGCTTTTTATAACAAGTTTCGCGTTACTACATGTTAGTTACACGTTATATCACAATAGTTTTGCGTTATTTCGTGTTATACAGCAAAAAAAGGGGTTTTTTTTCTCTTAAGAAAATGAGCTCAATAATAGGCTTTCATAAATCAATGCAAGTCCATTGACCATATAGATTTATGTTCATATAAATATTTAGTACATGTATGTTTCCTAATGCTATATATCTTATAAGATTTGTATGCCATGTCTATATACTCACTGAACTTCAGGGACAAAGGTGAATGACAAGGACTGTTCTGTCCTTGGTGCCATTATTGGTCGGAACAGCCTTTGGTCAGTAGGCAAAATTGGCTTCTTCAGATCTTTTTCGTTTATAGTGGGCTCTAAATACTGTGCAGCGTACCATTTTGAACGTGTTTGTATAAAGCTGTAAACAACAAAGAAACATTTTTCCATCAAGTTGCACAACAATTTGGTTGCAGTGCGAAGACAATAAACCTTTTATTAAATCATCTGAACATAAATGAGTTGATAATCACCAGATGCAATTATGTAATTGCATTATTTCTTCAAGTGATTGCATGGATATTCCTTGGTCTTCCTGTATATGCCCAAACTATCCTAAACCACTTGAAAATAGACAATTAAAAGTGTAGCACCCTTACACAAGGCCCACCTTGACACAACTTCACAATAACGACCAATTTAATTTGGCCTGCATACAGCATCATTGGGGGTTGCCAATGGAACGATGTGTTCTTTTCACAGGTAAATTCAGATTCTTTTATCATATGATGAGTAATATAAGCTTACAGCACAGAATTAGATTGAGCCAAAAAATGTAGCTGTGTGTCCCTTCCCTCCCCCCCCC